ATTTTTCTTCAGTGGAATTTTTTGGAGAAGTCCCCCATTATCCTTGTTCCTTTTTTTTTTTATTATTCAACCTCTGAAAAGTTAAGCTCTGCTCTGTACCACACCAACAATCTAGAGTCTGTAGATATGGTGCCAAATTTAAATTTCAATGTCTTACTGCAGCAATGAGTTTATAAAAGATTGGTTTGGGGGCCTCGGGCAATTGCCCTTTTTTAATGTACCAATGGCTTAAAAAAACTGTAAGCATTGAGGATGAGATATTTTTCTCCACTTTTTTAGCTTTAAACAGTTTTCTCTAGTTCAAAGATATAGTTTTTCTTATTTTTTGGCACACCAGTGGCCAAGTGAATAAAATCATAATCTGCTAAACATTTCTTTGTTTTTAGCCATGCAAATATCTTTATAACAATTATAAATCAATAATTAATTTTTAATTTACATTAAATTTAAATTAATATTTAATTACCACAATAAAAGTAATGTGCACTTCACGCCAACGCTTAACTGTATAACATAATTACACTATACGTAAATACATAAATTTAAATACATAAATCACAAAACTCGCTTCCAACACACATTAGTAAAAAATATAAATAACTAATTAAATTAATCAATTAATGCTTGATATACTTTCTGTATAGCAAAGCTATTTGATTTCCACAATAGTTCTTTTAGTTTTGAAAAAGATTATAAATTACTAAGCTAGTTCAGAAAAAACAAAAAGCAGGAATCCAAAACACACATAATGATAGAAAGTAGAGTTTAGTGTAATCTATATTAAAATTATTAGTAAATTATATTAAATTATTTTGATTTTACAAACTTTTCTGTAAATTATTTTATAACAGTTCAAGAACTGTTCACCTCCAAAATGTGATCCCCATGTCATGTTTAAACTGATTTTCCTCATTATTCATGTCCTGGTTGTGATTGTCCTGGTAAGTACAATAAAACTCTCCTGTAACAAATTATCTCCAGGAAGCACAGAGAATTCATTATAAAGGAAATTTGTTAAATGGAAAAATATATCAATAATGAAAAGAAAACATGGTATTTTGAGTGTGTTGCCTAGTAAAGCAGCTTTAATACAGTTGGATAAGCAAGCCAATGACATTTCCAGTTTCATTTAAAATGGACTATGTTATTGGTTTGCTTACCCAACAGCATTAAAGCAGCTTTACCAGCAAATTCAATCATTGTAACAGTGTTTTATTGATCATGAAAATATCCTTGAATGTATATTCATAAGAAAGTAAAGTATTATGTATGCATTTTACAAGAGAAAATTGAATATAAGGTATAGTAATGTTTAGTGAAATTGAGAAAAATATCATGATTGAAATAAATGTTCTTACATATTTTTGTTAAAAATAGTAACTTTTGTTTGTATTCCTTACACCAAAAATTACTTTATTTTAAACAAATGATTCTAATTTTACTTAAAAGATCAAAAATTCTATCTGGATTAATTTATTACAGTTTTGATGTATCAAAAAGATTTTTGAAATTGTTTCCAGATGCAGATNAAAAAGAAATTCGAATTTAAAACGGTTCGAATATTTGGTTAAAAAATTGAAATATATAAAAAAATATTTATAACAATGTCTGAAATGTTATCAATTTAATACTCGTAATTACTCAATGAAGACTAAACATAATTAAAGACAAAAAAATTGCATCTAAAATAATACAGTAGAAGCCATTCTTCAGGTTAAGCCTTAATGCTCTCCCTTTCCCCCTGTAGGAGCATTTTGAAAAATCCCTTCTTAGTGTGCGTTTTCATGATGTACCCTAACTGTGTGCCAAATTTCACCTCTAGGTTCTGGAACTTTCTAGAAAAAACTGGAACATTCTCATTGAAGCGTCACACATTTTCGAAGTCAACCACTTTCAAACCCCATATCTCCCGCACCCTTATAGCTATCGAGACGCGACCACCATAGTGCACGATGGGAGACTTGGGGCTACTACCACACACAAACACCATTCATGTGCGATGTATGGTTTTGGCTGCAAAGTGACATACAGGCACAAGCATATCCATTTTTATATATATATATATATATAGATTTATAAAATTAAATAGATGTTACATAAATTTGGCATGCATTTTCTTAATTGATGAAATTCATTTTCTTGGTTTCTGTTTGGATAATCATAAAATGTTACCATACACTTGAAATCATCCCCTCTTCCTTAAAATTGATGCATTCCTCTCACAATTTCACTTTGTAAACCTCCAGGGCTTCAATCACTTTAGCATGCTCTGACTGTGTCTGATGAGACTAGCTTGTTCCAAGTTTGCTTTCATTCTTGTTTTGGAGGCATATGTGGATAGAGCAGTGGTTTGTTTCTTGAGGCAGGCATTAGGTGCCATCCCTTATTAAATTAATACGGTGGGTGATTGGTTAACGAACAGTTCGGATAGTGAACAAAGTCTGGAATGGATTATGTTCATTAACTGATTACCCACTGTATTTATGAATAATTTAGAATATTCTGAAAGAAAAGAATTGGCCCAAAGTGGGACTTAAACCTGCAACTCCCACTTACTGTGCAGGTGTGTTGCCAGTTATTCTCCCTGAACCTCTGGTTTGTTTCTTCTTTTCTATGTCATGTTTGTGTTCTACAATTCATTTTGTCAGTGATCTGTTAGTGTATCCAATATATACTAGAACTTGATCGAATCTTTTATTAACTGCTGGGACCTTGTACACTCCCAGTAAATGTAAATTTATTTTCATTTGGAAATCATACATTTCCACATAAGGACTATGTAACAAACCTACTTAGAAATCACAGATACAGTAGTACCTCGGTATACGTTTGCTTTAGAATACGTCCAGTTTGGAATACGTCCTGTTTGGACAAAACAAATTTTGCTCGGTATACGACTTAATTCAATTATACGCGCCATCAACAAATAAGTAGCACTATCAGTGTACTAGACCAGACTAGACATTTGCGGTGCCACGGTTTATAACTTTGTTAAATTTCTTCTGATTTTAATTTGTAAGTAAAATTTTATTATTTTTATTAATCATGAATTGAAAAAAGACAAATGAAAAGCAACAGAAAATTTAAAAAAAAAAGACTAGAATCACAAAGAAACTGAAAAAAGAGATGTTGAGAAATATGAAGGTGGCATGCGTGTTCGAGATTTAACTGTTGCATACCGTATTCTGAGAATGACAATATCGACAATCGCGAAAAATAAAGACATTATTAAATCTGCTAATGTTGCAAAAGGAGTTAAATCAATTTCTAAACAGAGATCGAAGACATTAGATCATGTTGAGAAATTACTTTTGCTTGGATAACTGAAAAACAGTGTGCTGGCGACATCCTATCAGATGCAATTATTTGCGAGAAAGCTAAAAAGATACATGTTGATCTCATGAAAAATCAAGCAGGAACTAGGCAGGAGAGTGAGGTGTTTAAAGCCAGCCATTTTTTTCATGAGAATGGATTAATCATTTTTACATTACTTCTTATGGGTTGGTTTGGTATACGTCCTATTCAGTATAAGTCCAAACATCAGGAATGGATTAAGGTCGTATACCGAGGTTCCACTGTATATGGATTGCACTATTTAAACTTTTAAATAATTAACTCAATGTCTTGCATCAAGTACAGTAAAACTTCTCTAACTTAAATGTCTGTAACTCAAATATTTCCTTAACTCAAAGAAAATGAAACACTTGCTAGGCTTCAATGGAATAGCACAAGGATTTAACATCTCCAACTTGAATTTTCTTCACTCAAATTCTCTCCAAGTAGAAGGTTTTCATGGTCTTCTGACACTGATTTATGTTACTTTCAATTTTTCTGTCAAATTTTAATATTTATCTTATCCAAAGTAATTCTTATCAGATATCCATGAAATTTTCAGGAAGTTAGTTGTATCTAATATCTATCTCCCATTTGCAGACAACATTCCAGTGCAAAGAAAGAGGATCTATTGCTTTATTTCAGCGAGATGTACCTGCAAAACTGTTTAATTCCATTAGGTACATTGAACGTTTTGCTGAAAGGCATTACGTGGACTGTTTAAAACAAAAAAACTATCAAAGATTCTTTATCTAATGCAAAAGAGGTAAAAATACAAATCTATTCAGAATCACTATTTTTCATTCTATTATTCTCTGACTTGAATCATCTGTAACTTGTAAGTTTCTTCATGCTCCTTGGAGTTTCCAGTACAGAGAAGTTTTACTGCATTTAAATTAATTTTTGTTAATAATCCTATTACCTCGTGGGTATTAGCTCATCGTTGGTACCAAAACTGATTATTGCATCTATCATGACAAAATCTCCTATCTGTTATAGTAAAATATGTATATAAACTTGATTCAGTATAATATTAGTTGGTTCACTTATAAACAAAATTTTTGGACTCATTGTCCATATTATATTAGTTTTGCAGTATGTTTAATATTTGTTACAGAAGTATAATTGGATCTTTGGATCCATTTGTAAATTAGAAAAATGCATTTCAAATTCAATATTATTTTATAATTATTTTAATTTATGGATGTTTAATCCAATATCAAAGATCCTAAATAGTGCTTAGTGCAATTGTACTTAGTGCTTAGTGTTTTCGACTTCAAATTTATTTTCTTCTTTTCAGATGTAATGGAAATAAAGGGCCTAATAGCTAAAAAATTAATTTAATTGTTTTAATTTCTGAGTGTAGATGATAAGGTGTTATACATCATATTCATGATTTAACTCTACATGTGATATTTTATTGTAATAAAAATGTATACAAGATAATTACAGTTTTAAAAGGGCCACACAAAAACATTGACTGGGCCGTGGGTTGGACATTCAGGCTTAGTGTATTGTTACCTAAGTAAAATATAACCATTATCTGATTTTTTTATTTTATTCATATTTGATATTGCTGATATATTTTGTAAAAAAAGAATAAGTTTGTAAAATAAAACAATGTTTAAAAAATTGATTTTATTAAAAACTGAAAATTTTTATTTCAGATATGGCTACATATCAATTATTTTGTTCTCCTCCTAAATGTGAAGCAGGATGTCATTTACAACCAGCCTTACCTGGAGAATGTCCTGGATGTGCCTGTCCTGGTATGCATAATATAAAAACTAATAAATTAAATAAAGTTACTAATTATACTTTTTTGAATTTCCGGTCAACCCCGTCACATAAACACAGGATGACCATTTAGTTTTAATTTTATTAAAAGATCAGTATTCCTGACACCAGTTAAGATATATTAGTAAGAGCATCCTAACTCTCAATTTGATCCTTTTCGATTTAAGAAGGGAACTTTATACTGTAGATAAGACGGTGGAGTTAGGCAATTAATTAACCAAGACAAACTTCAAAAAATTAACTAGAATTTGATTTATTAATAAAAGAGACAAGAGACAAAAATTTCATGAATATTGAAAAAATTAAAATCAGTAAACACTTTAAAATAATCAATAGAAATTTTTCTTTCTAATTTTTTCTCCACTTTCAAAGTTTCTATTCTTACTAAAATTTCATTAAAACAAAACATGTTAAATTATTGTTTCCATCAATGTTAGAACAAGATAAGATTACCCTTTCAACTATCAACAATTCTCTACATTTGAGAGCTTTTACACAAATTTATACTACCTCTTAATCTCTTTGTAATTCTTTCCCTTAATTTGGAGAATAATTTAATAAAAAGTAAAACACATCTGGATACGAGTCCAATTTTGCTTGCCATGCCTAATCACCAGGAACAACTATTTCCATTGCAGAGACAACCTTTCTTTACAGGCTATGCCTCTGCACATGAAATTCTATGGAGAATAATTCTTTGGTTTTGGCATCTACTTTAGACAGGGAATTTTGGTGGGATCGACACTTGTTAGGTGACAGGAGACTAGCACAAAGACTACTAGGAGAGCCAAGAGTACCCATTTAGGGATTACCATTTCCTTTTAAACAAAATCTTCCTCCAATTAGAACTGTCAAACCAAGCTCTCCATTCTTCTGACGTGACGGAAGTGGTTGGTTTGGCAGATAAGTCACGTGAGATTTCACATTAAAACTATCACTTTTGAGGGAAACTGTATTATCTTAATCTAACATAAAGGAAGTTCCTTTTCCAACTTTGTAAATTTTACAAAAATATAGCAAATAGAATTTTGTCAAAAATCTAATAATTCTCCCTATTTGTTAAAATTAAATTGTTAAGTCTGGATTCTCACACTTTTCCATTTTGAAGGACCTGGATTCAAATTGGGACTGGATCTGTAAAAATTTTTAAGGATGGTTTGATCTATGTTTTGAACCATCTTTTGTCATTTAGTTACCTCCTTTGTGGACTGAGTAGAACTGTGACAGATCTGTCAAAAAAACTATCCCATTGCCAACAGGCAGGAACAGTTTCAGAAAAAAAAATATTTTTGAAAAGTTTTCTTTATTTTTAGTGAATTTTAAAAATTTTCATTTTATACATAAAATCTTATAATTTGGGTGAATAAAATTTAATCTTGTTTCTGTTAGTTAGAGAAGGTTTAAATTAAAGATTATGTTTTGAGAGAACTTTTGATTTCAACATTTAACTGAGGTAATAATTTTAACAAGAATACTGAAATCAAGAATTCATTGATCATACAAAGTTTTTAAATTAGTCATTTATAACAGAATCAATGAGTTATTTTAAATATATGCATGATAATGTTAAAAATTAATTAATTTAGGCAGTGACCCAGTAGAAATTCAGTGTTCTCAACCAAAATGTGAGCCGGGATGCTCCGTACAGAAAGTATTGCCCGGTCAGTGTCCTGGTTGTGTATGTTTTGGTAAGTATTAATTTTTTTTTTACTGAATTTATATTAGATTATAATTTATAATATTCATAAACTATGTGAACTCTGGTCTCTGGAACTAATTAGTGAACAGATTGCCTAGTTATTAATAAGTTCCTACACTACTGTTATTAGTTTTTGTGCATTGGTAGTTGATAAGCATAATGTAGCACTTTGAGAAATTGAAGATATATTGCTCCATGTTCATTGATAGACGCAGTCAAATATCACTAGCACTCGGGCAGCTAAGAGCCCAAAACTATTCTGCTTCAAACATTAATTGTAATGAGATATAGTTGCTTAAAGAAAAAAAGTCAATCCAGTCTAGACATCAGTTAGAGTTAGTAGTGTGGCTGTATGCCATTGTATAATTTTAATTTAGTTCATAGTTGTTAGCATTTTTCCTTTGTTCTTTGTTTGTTCTTACTTCTAGAACATTCTAATCTTAATCTATTCCCTTGAGGGCCACTTTGTGGAATTGCAAGAACAATGAAGGCGATGTTACCCGAGGGCATGTGTGGGAAGTGTAGGACGTGGTATTGGCTGGTCTTTGTGGAATGAGGATGAAGAAGACAGTGCTTAGTGTTGTCGAGTATCTGAGAGATGAGTGAAACTAAACTGGAGTAAGAAAAGTTTATGAACTTATTGGAGTGATGGCATAATGAATTTTGGATATAGAAAAAAAGGAAGACAGAAGCACAAAGTGAGTCTAAGAAAGTTCCATGTGACCCCTCACGGAAGCTAAATAACATTTGTACATCCTGAATATTCTATTCTTTTCTATCAGCTATTTTGCTATTTCTTTCCTATATCCTCTGATCTCTTTTTCTCCTTAGCATAATTTAGTTTTTAAAGATTAGTTATGAGGAAACTCTTGTTGTATTATCTGAGCTCAGTTCCTTTGTATACTTTGTGATATTGTGTAATTGTCCCACCAACATTTCAGATTTTGGGTGACCACCTGTTATATTGGAATTCATCAGAATCTGTATGTTTTAGGCATAAATAAATAGTTTTTTCCACCATCTGCTGCGCATGATTCCTTGCTCGCTGTATTCGTTCTCCTTGACTAATGGTATTTTTATTCATAACTTTACAGTAGGATGTCAGTTAAAGCTGCTGGACTGACCTAACTATAAATTGAATCCAAAAGCTGGGGGAGCATAAAACTTTTTTACAAATTTAAGAACAATTTATTTGCTTGGATTTTACGGAAACAATTTGTTCATAATTTTAAAATTACAAACTAATTACAGTATTTAATATTGTAATTCAGTTGTTTTGTTCTTTCCATTATTAAAGCAATTAAAATTAAGAACTAATTTGTAAAACTGCAGATTTTTAATCGAAAATCTCCCAATTCTGTCAACTTCCTGTGTCCAATGTGCATGTCAACTGTGTTAACTAATCATTTGGCATTGTTACATCATACAAAGCACCAACTATAAAAGAAAATGCAATTTTTTGAGTTGGAGTGAACATTGATTTGTGACATATCTATACTGCCAATGACAATACTAAGAGGGACTTTTTCAGAGTCTGAAATGCATTTTGAGTGTATTGTATGCATATTAGATTTAATCATTGTAAAATTTCTTTATTTTTTTGTAAACTTAAATATAAAATAAAGAAAATTTTTGTTCATATTCACTGGTGTGATAAGTCCTGAAAAGTAAATAACTACTTAGGTTATTAGAAATATTTAATGAAATTAAAGGCAAAAAGTAATACTATTGAAGTTGCAAGCATAAGTCAAAAAACATGCACCTGGTTGGGATTTGGCTCCTGTGACTGGGAAAGCTGGAAGCAATGTGTTTTGTAGTAAACAACATAGTATAATTGTTATTAAAATCACAGGATCACATTTTGTACTACGTATTAACCAATATTTTCTATTAATCAAACTCATTAACATTGAAAATGCCTATCCTCTTTCATGAAGTTTCAAATCTGCTTTACATTAATGTGGATTTTGCATAAATGAGTAATGGAATAACAGAGTTTTACTATTTATTTGATGAAAGCATATAATTTTTATACAACTGATACCAAAATTTTAAAATTGCATTATATTGATATTTATGTCAAAATGTGAAAAAACCCAAGTAATATAATGAGATTTAGCATTTAATTTGTTTTAAATACATCTTTCATAATTCAATCTTAAATCTGGCTTACTACAGCAATGCAAAAGTATACCAAGTAAACTGAAATTCTGTTAACAAGGCATCTGGTATGCCAGCAAACCTGATAAATTGGCACGTCCGGCTCGTTTTTAGAGGGCAGTATTAGGGAACTGGATATTCATCTGTATTTATACATAACTAGGTAGCCAGTTAATTAAAACTATAAATAATATTGAAATTTAAAAATATTTAATTTAAAATTTAAATTAAATTTAAATTTAAAACTCTTTAAAACACTAAATTTAAAGTGCTTTGGTTTCTGTTTTAATTTATAGTAAACAGAACCAAAATCCGAAACTAAAATTAAAAATGAAATACAAATTTATTAATTAACTTAAATTAAAATTTAAATCAAAGCAATTGAAACATAATATTTGGGAAAGTGTGGATAAAGTACTTGTTATCCATCTTGATTGATTTGGTTATATTTCATGCAGGCAGTCGGAATTGAGTCTCTATTTATAGTACTTTGTAAAGTGTTAAGCAATCATAAAAGGCAGATTTGTACAACTTTACATGCAAAGATATGTAAAATTATGTCCAGGGAATTGAAAAAAAATCAGAAAAAATTCCATCGTCTGACAAATTGGCATATTCGATAACCTGGCATCGTTGGGATCAACGTGGTGCTGGGTTAACAAAATGTCACTGTAACAATATGATAGAAATCACAATAATAAAATTTGTTTTTATCTTGTCTACATTAGTACAATATATGTAATGACCCAATGACCAAGATGGTAAAGGCATTAGCCTGCCACACTGGGCACCAGTTTGTCTCACTCAAAAACCTGGAAATTTTTTATAAGTGGTCTAGCTAGATACATTGAAACCTGTCCTCATTACTGGATGCTCTCATTGTTGGACTGGCTACATCCACAAGGGACCTGGAAAAAAGACCTTCTTAATGCCTATATGGCAGAAAGAGTTAAAAAGAATAGCAATTTACTCATCTATCATCTCTATGTTTACAACACAAAACACCAAATTATCAGAATATTAATGTCAAATATAGTTGAAAATCCCAAAAAGCGCTCAATCAACTTGAATGTTTTGACTCTTTTAATGCTTTAGAGCTCTTTTCTTTTAAATCTAAACTTACATAACTGCCATTCAATAATAAATATGATTATTTTTTAATATTTTTCTCTGCAAATATATACAAATATTTTCTTTTGTCATTTTTAAGTTTTATTTTTACTACTGTATTATGCAAATTTTGCTCTTCATTTAAATGTTATCAATTGCATAAAAGTTAAATTCAGTCAGAACCAAAATAAGATACAAAAAAACTTTTTAAATTTCATTTTTATCATAAAATCATCTGTTATATTATAAAATGCAGTATGAATATGTTTTGCTTATCCCTTAAAATATGCTTTAACATCATCAAGAAAGAAATACTTTCAGATCTTTTGTAAATATATAATTTAGCATAATGGTAGTAATATAATTTGTTTTCTCTAAAAGTTGATTTAGTATTCATATTTTAAGAATATGATTCTTTTATAGGTATAACAAATCCAAGTTTCAAGCACTGTTCACCTCCAAAATGTGATCCCCCATGTCATATCCAAACACATGTTGATCCCGGTGAATGTCCTGGATGTGTTTGTCCTGGTAACTTATTATCACATTGAATTTGTTTAATTTAATAAAATTTTTCAAGATTTCCTTATTTTTTATATATTATGACAGATATAACAGATCCCAATTTCAAGCATTGTTCACCTCCAAAGTGTGATGCGCCTTGTTACATTCAAACTGATGTTGCTCCCGGTGAATGCCCTGGATGCGTTTGTCCTGGTAACTTATTATCACATTGAATTTGTGTAATTTAAATAAAATTTTTTAAGATTTCCTTATTTTTTATATATTATGTCAGATATAACAGATCCCAATTTCAAGCATTGTTCGCCTCCAAAGTGTGATGCGCCTTGTTACGTTCAAACTGATGTTGCGCCCGGTGAATGCCCTGGATGCATTTGTTCTGGTAAGTGAGCAGGGAAGTATGAATACATTCAGATTCCACTTTCTGTCAGGATATATTCTTAAAACAACAGCATAAAACTGAAGTGATACAATTTTAAGGATTGTCAACTTTCATGACAATATTTTTAGAAATTGAAAATTAATCTTCATTTGTCTTTTTAATATAAGATTAAAGAAATGAAGTAAGCCTAAGAATAGTTTAAAACTAACCTGTATGATAATTTTTCATGGAATATAATTTAATCAGTGGAAGAAAAGTGAGAAAATCTCAACTTCAAAGTTGAAAACAGTGGTGCATTAGAGCTTCGTGGGGGCCCAGGAAAATTTGAATTAGGGAGCCCCATGCACAGTATTTACTTCAGATATTTTTCTTCAGTGGAATTTTTTGGAGAAGTCCCCCATTATCCTTGTTCCTTTTTTTTTTTATTATTCAACCTCTGAAAAGTTAAGCTCTGCTCTGTACCACACCAACAATCTAGAGTCTGTAGATATGGTGCCAAATTTAAATTTCAATGTCTTACTGCAGCAATGAGTTTATAAAAGATTGGTTTGGGGGCCTCGGGCAATTGCCCTTTTTTAATGTACCAATGGCTTAAAAAAACTGTAAGCATTGAGGATGAGATATTTTTCTCCACTTTTTTAGCTTTAAACAGTTTTCTCTAGTTCAAAGATATAGTTTTTCTTATTTTTTGGCACACCAGTGGCCAAGTGAATAAAATCATAATCTGCTAAACATTTCTTTGTTTTTAGCCATGCAAATATCTTTATAACAATTATAAATCAATAATTAATTTTTAATTTACATTAAATTTAAATTAATATTTAATTACCACAATAAAAGTAATGTGCACTTCACGCCAACGCTTAACTGTATAACATAATTACACTATACGTAAATACATAAATTTAAATACATAAATCACAAAACTCGCTTCCAACACACATTAGTAAAAAATATAAATAACTAATTAAATTAATCAATTAATGCTTGATATACTTTCTGTATAGCAAAGCTATTTGATTTCCACAATAGTTCTTTTAGTTTTGAAAAAGATTATAAATTACTAAGCTAGTTCAGAAAAAACAAAAAGCAGGAATCCAAAACACACATAATGATAGAAAGTAGAGTTTAGTGTAATCTATATTAAAATTATTAGTAAATTATATTAAATTATTTTGATTTTACAAACTTTTCTGTAAATTATTTTATAACAGTTCAAGAACTGTTCACCTCCAAAATGTGATCCCCATGTCATGTTTAAACTGATTTTCCTCATTATTCATGTCCTGGTTGTGATTGTCCTGGTAAGTACAATAAAACTCTCCTGTAACAAATTATCTCCAGGAAGCACAGAGAATTCATTATAAAGGAAATTTGTTAAATGGAAAAATATATCAATAATGAAAAGAAAACATGGTATTTTGAGTGTGTTGCCTAGTAAAGCAGCTTTAATACAGTTGGATAAGCAAGCCAATGACATTTCCAGTTTCATTTAAAATGGACTATGTTATTGGTTTGCTTACCCAACAGCATTAAAGCAGCTTTACCAGCAAATTCAATCATTGTAACAGTGTTTTATTGATCATGAAAATATCCTTGAATGTATATTCATAAGAAAGTAAAGTATTATGTATGCATTTTACAAGAGAAAATTGAATATAAGGTATAGTAATGTTTAGTGAAATTGAGAAAAATATCATGATTGAAATAAATGTTCTTACATATTTTTGTTAAAAATAGTAACTTTTGTTTGTATTCCTTACACCAAAAATTACTTTATTTTAAACAAATGATTCTAATTTTACTTAAAAGATCAAAAATTCTATCTGGATTAATTTATTACAGTTTTGATGTATCAAAAAGATTTTTGAAATTGTTTCCAGATGCAGATATTTTGACTTTGTTATGAGTACAATATAGTATCTGTGCTGTACTCATAACAGCCATTCAGCAGCAACAGTTGCAGAAATGAGGCAATGTTCTAATCAAATTTTAATGTTCATCAATATAAAAAAAATAATTTTTATTCATCTGCTTTCAAGACATTATTAAATACATATTAAACTTCATTAAATAGACATTTTAGTAAAGTTTAATCTGTATATCAAATCTTGTCTTGCTTCAGCTGTCTCTTTAGGAAGATATGGCTACTTCCCATGTTACAGAGGTTATTATGCAGCAATAGAAACTGTTATTCCACACAGGATAGATCTATAAAATTTCTTTAAGACAAGATTTAGGCATTTCTAAGATTTTTTTTACATAGATTACCTTCAGAACGCTTGCTAATTGAATTAGCAAGCGTTCTGAAGGTAGCAAAGAGGGTCTTGGAACATACAGTAGGTGTGAACCCTTGTGATTATAGGCCATTTTACTCCATCAATGTGTGGATCATAACATTTTATTTATTTGAAAAACCTTATAATTTTATCCAATGATATGTGTAATCACTCTTTAGTTATCAGAACTAAAGATGTTACTTTTTAGGGCAGTAAAAAAGCAACAATAGCATGGAGTTTAGTTCTTGTGCTCCCATTCCCACCCCACAGTAGCTGTTCAACAATAATTAAGACTTACATTTTATGGTAAATGTATACATAATTAATTTGTAGTTTTTGTATAACATTTGTTGTACACTTGCAATTTAAAATTCAAGATTTATACAATTATTCCTCTGTTTGAAACATTAAAATTTTGTACATTAACTTTCAAATTTTTAAATATTATATTCTATTATTCAAATTTTTCTAAAAATTAGAATCCTTTGTATTCTATATTCAAACTTCCTTGTCTGAAGACAAGTTATACATTGTCAAAAGTATTAATGAGAATTTTGTTTAATTAAAGTCATTCTAATGCTGAAAAACAGTTGCTTTTCTTTATTATATTGAGTTATTTTTAAATGTAGAAAAGACAAATTTTTAATATTTCATATAAACATTTTTTAAAGAAAAATATAACAGAACAATAAACTGCTTTACTAGAGTTCACTTTATTTACAAGCACTTTCAGAAAACTAAATCCATCATCAGATGTGCAAGTGACTTAAATTGGTAGGTAAAATTAATTCATTTGTTTGTCTTCTGATGACTGGCTTAGTTGTGAGAAAGTGCTAGAGGGTGACTTGTGAACTCTAGTAAAACAGCTTATTGTTTTGTTTTAGTTTTCAAAGAATTTGGTGTTGTTTTCACATTAAAAAAGAGAAATTTGTAATAAAGCTTGCTGTGTAAAAGGTCAACTATATTTAACATAAAATTATGAAAAATTAATTTTAATTAAGAAAATTCATTTATTATTTTTTGCATATTAAAACAGATATAACAGATCCTAATTTCAAGCATTGTTCACCTCCAAGATGCAATCCACCTTGTTATATTGAACCTTTTTTTATTCCTGGTGAATGTCCTAAATGCGCTTGTCCTGGTAAGCAATATTTATTAGTAGCATTAAAGAAAAACCTTAAATTAAAATTAAATCATTAAGATATTTAATGATTTCTTTTATTGATAGTTGTCTATTATGTTTGTGTGGATTGTTTTCCATAAATTATCTTTATTCAGTATCTAAAGCAAAATTTGATATAAATTATTCAATAACATTAGAAAGAAACAATTTTTCTCCAAACAAGTTAACGAACTAATAAATATTACATTTTCTTTAAAATATTCTGTAATTATGTTTTAATTTTTATTTTAGTTTTTCAGAAAAATTAACACTGCCATACAGGGTATATAGCAGGGGTGGCCAACCTGCGGCTCGCGAGCCACATGTGGCTCTTTGAAGGATTATTTGTGGCTCTCGATAAATGTACCCGAGTTCCCTTTTCATTTTTGTATTATTATGTTTTAAAAAATTATTATCGTTCCGTATGTGTTTCAAAATGTCTTTTAAATTACTAACAACAAATATGAAAGACTAAGTGCAACGTTGTAACAAATTTCATTTCCGTCCAAGTTAAGAATGATATGACTCATCGAAAACTGCGCGAACGAACATAAACAGTGGCGTAATCGTCCGTTATCGACCGACTCCAGACCGATTTTGAATTTGTAAACTGTCATTGCAATGGACAGTTGACATTGTGCTCTGGAGGAAACAATTTGTATCACTCTTGCTACGGATATAATTTGTAATCTGGAATTTTTTGCATACCTTTTTAATACGTATTTAATTGCGGCTCGCAAAAAATTTCAAATTTTGAAAAATGGCTCGGACTATCAAGGAGCTTGGCCACCTTGGGTATATAGTAAAGTCCTTAAACACCCACATAACTGATGAACATGGCTATAATTACATAATACGAACATGGCATATAAGTTAAGTTAGTTACAGTAAAGTGATTACGTGCTACAATATGAGACTGCTTTTTGTGCCCCTAGTGGTAAAATTTGGAAGTCGTCGCTTCCGTCTCGTAAACAATGCACGATATGGAAAAAAGTCGATTACGAAGTTGTAGAACATGACTAATTTAGTGTGAAAAGTTGCTCTGCATCCGGGAATAGTATGAATAAAAAGCATAAAATACTAACATACATATTGAGCATAGATGGTAAAACGTGTATTTCTCGTGTTCATTTGTATATTTTCATTCATTTCTTGTGTGTTTATTTCTCGTTTTTCTATGTCTTTGTGCCGCATTTGTTACCGCGTGTCATTCACAAGTTACTACTTAAGGATTTTACAATACCTCCTGTATATCTAAAAGACAAATTGTTTTTGAACTAAAATTAAGCTAAATCAATTAAATTTAGCTTAAGTCTAACCTTAAAATATTTTATCATTTAGATATATCTAATTTTTATTTCTAGAGAACTACTTTACTTATAGACTAATAGAGAACTATTTATTTTTTACTTTCTTGGGAAATAATGGTGATTGGTCATAAAATGACCACAAGATTTTTACATTTTTGGACTTGGTACCTTTAAATGTTGATAAATGCAAAACAATTTGGGGATTATAAAATGAATTGTAACAGAAATAAAATATAAAGAAAGCTTTACTGTTTGAGATGCACTTTATAAACTGCATATTGGAGTGTGTTGTGCTTTCAGAGGCCATTCTGGAAGCAGAGTATAAAGTATTATGGGTTACATAAAGGTTTTATTTCTGTCTTAGTGATTTTTGCAGGGTATATGCTGATCTGTTATATGCAACTATTGATTATTCTTGCAAAATTAAAATATTTCATATTTTCATATATATTTGTATATTGTAACAGATATAACAGGTCTTGATATCATACTTTGCTCACCTCCAAAATGTGATGCACCCTGTCACATTCAAACTAATAATGTTCCTGGTTCTTGTCCTGAATGTGTTTGTCCCGGTAAATATTTAACATAAATGAATGTCTTTAATTTAAAATAAACTTTTTCTGGATTTTGTAAATATTTTATGCTATAACAGATATAACAGATCAAAGTTTCAAGCACTGTGCAACTCGAAAATGCAATCCTCTGTGTCATGTCCAAACTGATGTTGCTCCCGGTGAATGCCCCAGATGTGTTTGTCCTGGTAATCTATTTCACATAAATGAATTTGTTTAATTTAAATGAAATATTTCAAGATTTCCTTATTTTTTATATGTTATAACAGATATAACAGATCCTAATTTCAAGCATTGTTCACCACCAAGATGTGATGCACCTTGTCATGTCCAAACTGATGTTGCTCCTGGTGAATGTCCAGGATGTGTTTGTCCTGGTATGTGTTGAAGATGAGCAGTTTACATTTAATCTAATTTATCAAAAATTTTTAATTATTTGATTGTATGAATGTTTTAGTAGGTGGTTTGATGACAGATCCTAATTTCAAACATTGTTCATCTCCAAACTGCAATTCTCCATGTCATATTCAAAATGATGTTGCTCCCGGATTGTGTCCAGGATGTGTTTGTCCTGGTATGTGTTTTAATTTGAATATGAATTTATGGATACAAATATATTATTTTAATATTTAAAATAAGTTATTAAATNAAATTAAATTTAAATTTAAAACTCTTTAAAACACTAAATTTAAAGTGCTTTGGTTTCTGTTTTAATTTATAGTAAACAGAACCAAAATCCGAAACTAAAATTAAAAATGAAATACAAATTTATTAATTAACTTAAATTAAAATTTAAATCAAAGCAATTGAAACATAATATTTGGGAAAGTGTGGATAAAGTACTTGTTATCCATCTTGATTGATTTGGTTATATTTCATGCAGGCAGTCGGAATTGAGTCTCTATTTATAGTACTTTGTAAAGTGTTAAGCAATCATAAAAGGCAGATTTGTACAACTTTACATGCAAAGATATGTAAAATTATGTCCAGGGAATTGAAAAAAAATCAGAAAAAATTCCATCGTCTGACAAATTGGCATATTCGATAACCTGGCATCGTTGGGATCAACGTGGTGCTGGGTTAACAAAATGTCACTGTAACAATATGATAGAAATCACAATAATAAAATTTGTTTTTATCTTGTCTACATTAGTACAATATATGTAATGACCCAATGACCAAGATGGTAAAGGCATTAGCCTGCCACACTGGGCACCAGTTTGTCTCACTCAAAAACCTGGAAATTTTTTATAAGTGGTCTAGCTAGATACATTGAAACCTGTCCTCATTACTGGATGCTCTCATTGTTGGACTGGCTACATCCACAAGGGACCTGGAAAAAAGACCTTCTTAATGCCTATATGGCAGAAAGAGTTAAAAAGAATAGCAATTTACTCATCTATCATCTCTATGTTTACAACACAAAACACCAAATTATCAGAATATTAATGTCAAATATAGTTGAAAATCCCAAAAAGCGCTCAATCAACTTGAATGTTTTGACTCTTTTAATGCTTTAGAGCTCTTTTCTTTTAAATCTAAACTTACATAACTGCCATTCAATAATAAATATGATTATTTTTTAATATTTTTCTCTGCAAATATATACAAATATTTTCTTTTGTCATTTTTAAGTTTTATTTTTACTACTGTATTATGCAAATTTTGCTCCTCATTTAAATGTTATCAATTGCATAAAAGTTAAATTCAGTCAGAACCAAAATAAGATACAAAAAAACTTTTTAAATTTCATTTTTATCATAAAATCATCTGTTATATTATAAAATGCAGTATGAATATGTTTTGCTTATCCCTTAAAATATGCTTTAACATCATCAAGAAAGAAATACTTTCAGATCTTTTGTAAATATATAATTTAGCATAATGGTAGTAATATAATTTGTTTTCTCTAAAAGTTGATTTAGTATTCATATTTTAAGAATATGATTCTTTTATAGGTATAACAAATCCAAGTTTCAAGCACTGTTCACCTCCAAAATGTGATCCCCCATGTCATATCCAAACACATGTTGATCCCGGTGAATGTCCTGGATGTGTTTGTCCTGGTAACTTATTATCACATTGAATTTGTTTAATTTAATAAAATTTTTCAAGATTTCCTTATTTTTTATATATTATGACAGATATAACAGATCCCAATTTCAAGCATTGTTCACCTCCAAAGTGTGATGCGCCTTGTTACGTTCAAACTGATGTTGCTCCTGGTGAATGCCCTGGATGCGTTTGTCCTGGTAATTTATTATCATATTGAATTTGTGTAATTTAAATAAAATTTTTCAAGATTTCCTTATTTTTTATATATTATGACAGATATAACAGATCCCAATTTCAAGCATTGTTCACCTCCAAAGTGTGATGCGCCTTGTTACGTTCAAACTGATGTTGCTCCTGGTGAATGCCCTGGATGCGTTTGTCCTGGTAATTTATTATCATATTGAATTTGTGTAATTTAAATAAAATTTTTCAAGATTTCCTTATTTTTTATATATTATGACAGATATAACAGATCCCAATTTCAAGCATTGTTCACCTCCAAAGTGTGATGCGCCTTGTTACGTTCAAACTGATGTTGCTCCTGGTGAATGCCCTGGATGCGTTTGTCCTGGTAATTTATTATCATATTGAATTTGTGTAATTTAAATAAAATTTTTCAAGATTTCCTTATTTTTTATATATTATGACAGATATAACAGATCCCAATTTCAAGCATTGTTCACCTCCAAAGTGTGATGCGCCTTGTTACATTCAAACTGATGTTGCTCCCGGTGAATGCCCTGGATGCGTTTGTCCTGGTAATTTATTATCATATTGAATTTGTGTAATTTAAATAAAATTTTTCAAGATTTCCTTATTTTTTATATATTATGACAGATATAACAGATCCCAATTTCAAGCATTGTTCACCTCCAAAGTGTGATGCGCCTTGTTACGTTCAAACTGATGTTGCTCCTGGTGAATGCCCTGGATGCGTTTGTCCTGGTAATTTATTATCATATTGAATTTGTGTAATTTAAATAAAATTTTTCAAGATTTCCTTATTTTTTATATATTATGACAGATATAACAGATCCCAATTTCAAGCATTGTTCACCTCCAAAGTGTGATGCGCCTTGTTACGTTCAAACTGATGTTGCTCCTGGTGAATGCCCTGGATGCGTTTGTCCTGGTAATTTATTATCATATTGAATTTGTGTAATTTAAATAAAATTTTTCAAGATTTCCTTATTTTTTATATATTATGACAGATATAACAGATCCCAATTTCAAGCATTGTTCACCTCCAAAGTGTGATGCGCCTTGTTACGTTCAAACTGATGTTGCTCCTGGTGAATGCCCTGGATGCGTTTGTCCTGGTAATTTATTATCATATTGAATTTGTGTAATTTAAATAAAATTTTTCAAGATTTCCTTATTTTTTATATATTATGACAGATATAACAGATCCCAATTTCAAGCATTGTTCACCTCCAAAGTGTGATGCGCCTTGTTACGTTCAAACTGATGTTGCTCCTGGTGAATGCCCTGGATGCGTTTGTCCTGGTAATTTATTATCATATTGAATTTGTGTAATTTAAATAAAATTTTTCAAGATTTCCTTATTTTTTATATATTATGACAGATATAACAGATCCCAATTTCAAGCATTGTTCACCTCCAAAGTGTGATGCGCCTTGTTACGTTCAAACTGATGTTGCTCCTGGTGAATGCCCTGGATGCGTTTGTCCTGGTAATTTATTATCATATTGAATTTGTGTAATTTAAATAAAATTTTTCAAGATTTCCTTATTTTTTATATATTATGACAGATATAACAGATCCCAATTTCAAGCATTGTTCACCTCCAAAGTGTGATGCGCCTTGTTACGTTCAAACTGATGTTGCTCCTGGTGAATGCCCTGGATGCGTTTGTCCTGGTAATTTATTATCATATTGAATTTGTGTAATTTAAATAAAATTTTTCAAGATTTCCTTATTTTTTATATATTATGACAGATATAACAGATCCCAATTTCAAGCATTGTTCACCTCCAAAGTGTGATGCGCCTTGTTACGTTCAAACTGATGTTGCTCCTGGTGAATGCCCTGGATGCGTTTGTCCTGGTAATTTATTATCATATTGAATTTGTGTAATTTAAATAAAATTTTTCAAGATTTCCTTATTTTTTATATATTATGACAGATATAACAGATCCCAATTTCAAGCATTGTTCACCTCCAAAGTGTGATGCGCCTTGTTACGTTCAAACTGATGTTGCTCCTGGTGAATGCCCTGGATGCGTTTGTCCTGGTAATTTATTATCATATTGAATTTGTGTAATTTAAATAAAATTTTTCAAGATTTCCTTATTTTTTATATATTATGACAGATATAACAGATCCCAATTTCAAGCATTGTTCACCTCCAAAGTGTGATGCGCCTTGTTACGTTCAAACTGATGTTGCTCCTGGTGAATGCCCTGGATGCGTTTGTCCTGGTAATTTATTATCATATTGAATTTGTGTAATTTAAATAAAATTTTTCAAGATTTCCTTATTTTTTATATATTATGACAGATATAACAGATCCCAATTTCAAGCATTGTTCACCTCCAAAGTGTGATGCGCCTTGTTACGTTCAAACTGATGTTGCTCCTGGTGAATGCCCTGGATGCGTTTGTCCTGGTAATTTATTATCATATTGAATTTGTGTAATTTAAATAAAATTTTTCAAGATTTCCTTATTTTTTATATATTATGACAGATATAACAGATCCCAATTTCAAGCATTGTTCACCTCCAAAGTGTGATGCGCCTTGTTACGTTCAAACTGATGTTGCTCCTGGTGAATGCCCTGGATGCGTTTGTCCTGGTAATTTATTATCATATTGAATTTGTGTAATTTAAATAAAATTTTTCAAGATTTCCTTATTTTTTATATATTATGACAGATATAACAGATCCCAATTTCAAGCATTGTTCACCTCCAAAGTGTGATGCGCCTTGTTACGTTCAAACTGATGTTGCTCCTGGTGAATGCCCTGGATGCGTTTGTCCTGGTAATTTATTATCATATTGAATTTGTGTAATTTAAATAAAATTTTTCAAGATTTCCTTATTTTTTATATATTATGACAGATATAACAGATCCCAATTTCAAGCATTGTTCACCTCCAAAGTGTGATGCGCCTTGTTACGTTCAAACTGATGTTGCTCCTGGTGAATGCCCTGGATGCGTTTGTCCTGGTAATTTATTATCATATTGAATTTGTGTAATTTAAATAAAATTTTTCAAGATTTCCTTATTTTTTATATATTATGACAGATATAACAGATCCCAATTTCAAGCATTGTTCACCTCCAAAGTGTGATGCGCCTTGTTACGTTCAAACTGATGTTGCTCCTGGTGAATGCCCTGGATGCGTTTGTCCTGGTAATTTATTATCATATTGAATTTGTGTAATTTAAATAAAATTTTTCAAGATTTCCTTATTTTTTATATATTATGACAGATATAACAGATCCCAATTTCAAGCATTGTTCACCTCCAAAGTGTGATGCGCCTTGTTACGTTCAAACTGATGTTGCTCCTGGTGAATGCCCTGGATGCGTTTGTCCTGGTAATTTATTATCATATTGAATTTGTGTAATTTAAATAAAATTTTTCAAGATTTCCTTATTTTTTATATATTATGACAGATATAACAGATCCCAATTTCAAGCATTGTTCACCTCCAAAGTGTGATGCGCCTTGTTACGTTCAAACTGATGTTGCTCCTGGTGAATGCCCTGGATGCGTTTGTCCTGGTAATTTATTATCATATTGAATTTGTGTAATTTAAATAAAATTTTTCAAGATTTCCTTATTTTTTATATATTATGACAGATATAACAGATCCCAATTTCAAGCATTGTTCACCTCCAAAGTGTGATGCGCCTTGTTACGTTCAAACTGATGTTGCTCCTGGTGAATGCCCTGGATGCGTTTGTCCTGGTAATTTATTATCATATTGAATTTGTGTAATTTAAATAAAATTTTTCAAGATTTCCTTATTTTTTATATATTATGACAGATATAACAGATCCCAATTTCAAGCATTGTTCACCTCCAAAGTGTGATGCGCCTTGTTACGTTCAAACTGATGTTGCTCCTGGTGAATGCCCTGGATGCGTTTGTCCTGGTAATTTATTATCATATTGAATTTGTGTAATTTAAATAAAATTTTTCAAGATTTCCTTATTTTTTATATATTATGACAGATATAACAGATCCCAATTTCAAGCATTGTTCACCTCCAAAGTGTGATGCGCCTTGTTACGTTCAAACTGATGTTGCTCCTGGTGAATGCCCTGGATGCGTTTGTCCTGGTAATTTATTATCATATTGAATTTGTGTAATTTAAATAAAATTTTTCAAGATTTCCTTATTTTTTATATATTATGACAGATATAACAGATCCCAATTTCAAGCATTGTTCACCTCCAAAGTGTGATGCGCCTTGTTACGTTCAAACTGATGTTGCTCCTGGTGAATGCCCTGGATGCGTTTGTCCTGGTAATTTATTATCATATTGAATTTGTGTAATTTAAATAAAATTTTTCAAGATTTCCTTATTTTTTATATATTATGACAGATATAACAGATCCCAATTTCAAGCATTGTTCACCTCCAAAGTGTGATGCGCCTTGTTACGTTCAAACTGATGTTGCTCCTGGTGAATGCCCTGGATGCGTTTGTCCTGGTAATTTATTATCATATTGAATTTGTGTAATTTAAATAAAATTTTTCAAGATTTCCTTATTTTTTATATATTATGACAGATATAACAGATCCCAATTTCAAGCATTGTTCACCTCCAAAGTGTGATGCGCCTTGTTACGTTCAAACTGATGTTGCTCCTGGTGAATGCCCTGGATGCGTTTGTCCTGGTAATTTATTATCATATTGAATTTGTGTAATTTAAATAAAATTTTTCAAGATTTCCTTATTTTTTATATATTATGACAGATATAACAGATCCCAATTTCAAGCATTGTTCACCTCCAAAGTGTGATGCGCCTTGTTACGTTCAAACTGATGTTGCTCCTGGTGAATGCCCTGGATGCGTTTGTCCTGGTAATTTATTATCATATTGAATTTGTGTAATTTAAATAAAATTTTTCAAGATTTCCTTATTTTTTATATATTATGACAGATATAACAGATCCCAATTTCAAGCATTGTTCACCTCCAAAGTGTGATGCGCCTTGTTACGTTCAAACTGATGTTGCTCCTGGTGAATGCCCTGGATGCGTTTGTCCTGGTAATTTATTATCATATTGAATTTGTGTAATTTAAATAAAATTTTTCAAGATTTCCTTATTTTTTATATATTATGACAGATATAACAGATCCCAATTTCAAGCATTGTTCACCTCCAAAGTGTGATGCGCCTTGTTACGTTCAAACTGATGTTGCTCCTGGTGAATGCCCTGGATGCGTTTGTCCTGGTAATTTATTATCATATTGAATTTGTGTAATTTAAATAAAATTTTTCAAGATTTCCTTATTTTTTATATATTATGACAGATATAACAGATCCCAATTTCAAGCATTGTTCACCTCCAAAGTGTGATGCGCCTTGTTACGTTCAAACTGATGTTGCTCCTGGTGAATGCCCTGGATGCGTTTGTCCTGGTAATTTATTATCATATTGAATTTGTGTAATTTAAATAAAATTTTTCAAGATTTCCTTATTTTTTATATATTATGACAGATATAACAGATCCCAATTTCAAGCATTGTTCACCTCCAAAGTGTGATGCGCCTTGTTACGTTCAAACTGATGTTGCTCCTGGTGAATGCCCTGGATGCGTTTGTCCTGGTAATTTATTATCATATTGAATTTGTGTAATTTAAATAAAATTTTTCAAGATTTCCTTATTTTTTATATATTATGACAGATATAACAGATCCCAATTTCAAGCATTGTTCACCTCCAAAGTGTGATGCGCCTTGTTACGTTCAAACTGATGTTGCTCCTGGTGAATGCCCTGGATGCGTTTGTCCTGGTAATTTATTATCATATTGAATTTGTGTAATTTAAATAAAATTTTTCAAGATTTCCTTATTTTTTATATATTATGACAGATATAACAGATCCCAATTTCAAGCATTGTTCACCTCCAAAGTGTGATGCGCCTTGTTACGTTCAAACTGATGTTGCTCCTGGTGAATGCCCTGGATGCGTTTGTCCTGGTAATTTATTATCATATTGAATTTGTGTAATTTAAATAAAATTTTTCAAGATTTCCTTATTTTTTATATATTATGACAGATATAACAGATCCCAATTTCAAGCATTGTTCACCTCCAAAGTGTGATGCGCCTTGTTACGTTCAAACTGATGTTGCTCCTGGTGAATGCCCTGGATGCGTTTGTCCTGGTAATTTATTATCATATTGAATTTGTGTAATTTAAATAAAATTTTTCAAGATTTCCTTATTTTTTATATATTATGACAGATATAACAGATCCCAATTTCAAGCATTGTTCACCTCCAAAGTGTGATGCGCCTTGTTACGTTCAAACTGATGTTGCTCCTGGTGAATGCCCTGGATGCGTTTGTCCTGGTAATTTATTATCATATTGAATTTGTGTAATTTAAATAAAATTTTTCAAGATTTCCTTATTTTTTATATATTATGACAGATATAACAGATCCCAATTTCAAGCATTGTTCACCTCCAAAGTGTGATGCGCCTTGTTACGTTCAAACTGATGTTGCTCCTGGTGAATGCCCTGGATGCGTTTGTCCTGGTAATTTATTATCATATTGAATTTGTGTAATTTAAATAAAATTTTTCAAGATTTCCTTATTTTTTATATATTATGACAGATATAACAGATCCCAATTTCAAGCATTGTTCACCTCCAAAGTGTGATGCGCCTTGTTACGTTCAAACTGATGTTGCTCCTGGTGAATGCCCTGGATGCGTTTGTCCTGGTAATTTATTATCATATTGAATTTGTGTAATTTAAATAAAATTTTTCAAGATTTCCTTATTTTTTATATATTATGACAGATATAACAGATCCCAATTTCAAGCATTGTTCACCTCCAAAGTGTGATGCGCCTTGTTACGTTCAAACTGATGTTGCTCCTGGTGAATGCCCTGGATGCGTTTGTCCTGGTAATTTATTATCATATTGAATTTGTGTAATTTAAATAAAATTTTTCAAGATTTCCTTATTTTTTATATATTATGACAGATATAACAGATCCCAATTTCAAGCATTGTTCACCTCCAAAGTGTGATGCGCCTTGTTACGTTCAAACTGATGTTGCTCCTGGTGAATGCCCTGGATGCGTTTGTCCTGGTAATTTATTATCATATTGAATTTGTGTAATTTAAATAAAATTTTTCAAGATTTCCTTATTTTTTATATATTATGACAGATATAACAGATCCCAATTTCAAGCATTGTTCACCTCCAAAGTGTGATGCGCCTTGTTACGTTCAAACTGATGTTGCTCCTGGTGNTTCTGTACTCTATTAAAAACTAAAATTTATTTGTTTGTAAGCTTAAAATAGATTCTTATTAACCATATATTATTAAAAATGCATTAATAAATAAAATACAGAACTGGAAATAGTAATTTATAGTTTAGCCTAGTGACAAGTAGATTCGGAGACAAGTAAATTCGACTTACGTCGTTTTTCAACTTAAGTCGTTTTCCTGGAACCAATTACCGACGTAAGGCGAGGTATACCTGTACTTATGTGGGAATCCCTTTACTTCTCAACAATGTCACCATGCAACTCTCCCAAGCTAGATATACTGGAGCTGTGGATAGCACTGTTTAACCTTCTACAGATGTTAATTGCATGGTTCACAATAAAACATCTTGCGGCATTATTAGTGCTGCTATAAATTTATTATTTGTTTATTTACTGTTTAATTTATTATGAATTATGTATTTTATATTTTAATCCAATTTAATTTTCTTTTACATATCATTGTATTTTTGCATTATTGTATAATTTTGTAAATTGTATATATATAATTTCAATTCTGTGCACTTGCAAGACAAACAATTTGAAAAAAATGTTAGCTGCTATTTGGGTTCTATTTCTTGAATTCAAATGTTTTGTTTTCTAAGAATGATTCTGCCTGAGAAAACAGTTATGTACTGTCAAAAGTACTTGCAAATAAATCTTTTTATGTAATGCTAACAAACAATGGTGTATATTAGGGAAAAGGAATTGAAAAGTACAAATAAAAGATATTAAATCTTCTGTAATCTTTTATAGGTATAACAGATCCAGATTTCCTGCATTGTTCACCTCCAAAATGTGATGCACCTTGTAGCATGCAAACTATGATTGCACCTGGTCAGTGTCCCGGATGCGTATGTCCTGGTAAGTAGTTTGCCACGAACAGAAATTTTAAAATGATTTGTATATTGGATGTTACCACTCAAAATAATGCCAATATGACAAAACATTTTATTTTAAATTAAAATTCTTAATTTTATTTATTTCTTTGCAGAAATATCAATAACAGATCCTAATTTTAAGCATTGTTCGCCTCCAAGATGCGATCCGCCTTGTTACGTTCAAACTAATGTTGCTCTTGGCGAATGCCCCGGATGCACTTGTCCTAGTAAGTATTAAATCTATTAATCTATGTTAATATTTTTGATAAAATGTCCCATTAATTTGATGAATTGTTTTACAGGTAATTCAATAACAGATCCTCATTTTAAGCATTGTTTAACTCCAAAATGTGACCCCTGGTGTTACATTCAAATTAACGTTACTTCTGGTTCATGTCCTGGATGCATCTGTCCTGGTAAATATTAGTATGAATAGGTTAAAATTAATGACGTTGTTTCTTATGTGGATCTATCTTTAATCTCTTATAAGTAAATACTTCTTTCTTTAGCACATTAACCACCAAATCAGATGTATACGTCTGATATCGATTGGCTTTTTTAGGAGTCGTGTCAGACATTTTTGACAAATGCCTTCAGTTTTAGCCAGAGCCAAGTCAGTCACTATCTGTATAAATTTGTATTACCTTTTAAAAATATGGCATCTGATGAACAAGTTAAAAATATCATGGAATTGTGGGAAGAAATAAGTAACTGCTAATAGAAAAACTGTTTACTAAAAAAATATGTATGAGTAAATTAATTATAAAATTGAAGGGTTGCATCTCAAAACTTGTTTGATCCAGAAAAAGAAATTTTACAGTACAGGAAAGCCAAAAAACTGCTACTCAAATAAGGTACTTTTCATATAAATGGTGGGCTTCAGTTGCTTATATCAACAGCAGTAAGTGAGAATTTAAATGTGCCTTTCATACCACAGAGAGCCGCCACTTGGAAAGGAAATTCAACACTTGTTAATGATCAGAGCTACACCAAACGAGTTTTGGATTCAGCCCTTCAATTATAATGTCAATTATGCTGTTGTCCAATGTGTTAAGAACTAATTTTTTAAAAATTAGTGAATTTGGCTAGAAGAATGGTAATATTTTTCTATATTTCTCTTGTTATGAATAGTGATATTTTATTCACTCTATAAAATTAAACATACCACTTGTGAATAAGAACCCCTTACCAAAATTTAGACAAATTTTTGAATTGAAAAGAGGGAATGTAAATATTTAACATAATTTTTAAAACTGAAATGAAGTTTTCTGATCTTTTACATGTTGTAACAGATATAACAGATCCCAATTTCAAGCATTGTTCACCTCCAAAGTGTGATGCACCTTGTCATGTTCAAACTGATGTTGCTCCTGGTGAATGCCCTGGATGTGTTTGTCCTGGTATGTGTTGAAGACAAGCAATTTACATTTAATCAGATTTATCTAAAATTTTTAATTATATGATTGTATGAATGTTTTTGTAGATGATTTGATAACACATCCTAATTTCACACATTGTTCACCTCCAAATTGTGATCCATCTTGTCACATTAAAACGAATGTTGCTCCTGGTGAATGCCCTGTTTGTATTTGTCCAGGTAAGTATTTGTTGCAGTCTTTATTTTCATAAGGTAATGCATAAAAAGGAAGGAAAAACTAGTCGAGGTAATGTTCTCGTCATCAAATGGCTGGCCGACTGATTGTACCAGCTATCGGAATATAAAAACCCTAACTTTCCCTGAATTCTTTTGTCATTTAAGAGGTTGGCAGTTGAAGGTTTTGCTTTGTGAAGCTTTGCTATTGTCCATGCTTCATCAATGAGGAACAAACAAAGTTCTTTCTAAATGTTTCACTTGTTCAAGACAGGCATATTTCTGCTATCCTCACTTTTGTAGATTACAGTGTACCAGTAAATTATAAAATTTGATACCAAACATGAGTATTACATATTATCAAAATATTACAGTTTAAATAATAAGACTAGCCATGTGTGACACATTCTGAAAATCAGGAACATACTAAAATCTTTTGATGTTGTCAACTTTTCATTTGAGGCTACTCAACTTTCATTAAAAGAATTCAGTGCTAAAATGTTCCAAACAAAACACGTAGTATCTTTCTTGAATTTGCTTCTTGTCCGGTTGTTGTCTGTTAGTTTTATTAACGGCCATCGACGTCCATTGTAAATACTAGATTTATTATATACAGAATGGGAAATAGAGCCTGATTAGAAAATCATTAATGTTTATTGGTTTATTTTAACTGAGGAATGCATTTTGGACATTCTTAACCCTCATTGGCCCCTATACAAGTTATACATTGTAAGTAATTGTGCATCTTTCTTGACACCCAAATACATACATAGATAAGAAGTTTCACTTACATTTTTTGATGACTACCTCATTCACTTTGAAAAGCAACTTTTAACTTTTTAACCATACAACCACATTTTCCACTTACGATCATCTCCAGTTCCAAAGTACATTTTAACAGCCCTACTCCCTTTCCCTCTTGTTTTTATACATACTTAACTCTATGTCCCCCCTCTAGTCTAGACTTAGCATCTTGTTTCAAGCCTGGCCACAGTTGGAACTGTTGAAGCAAACACAAGCATCAAGCAGTCTTTATATTCATCACTTCAATATGCAAATGTTCTCAAGAATAATAATTCAATTTCTTTTTAAAATTTAAAAATTCCAATGGACAAAAAATAGATGGCAGAGGATACATTTGCATATTGAAGAAAGCACCAATTTTTTATTTTTTTAATCAAAATGATTGGATAGAATTACTTATTAAGCAGTTACTTCTTTGTATAAGTCATTAAAAGTTATATTTCTACAGATTTTTTTTTAATCATCATCTAATTGATTACTGTAGTTACTACTTGTTATTAAATATTCAAAATTAATAATTTAATCTTTTTTTTTAGATATAACACACCCTTTTTTCAAGCATTGCTTGCCTCCAAAATGTGATTTGCCTTGTTACATTGAAACTAATATTTCTCCCGGATCATGTCCCGGATGCGTTTGCCCCGGTATGTGTTAAAGATGGACAATTTCACATTAAAAATTTTCATTAAATTACATGAATTGTTTAATTTTATGAATTTTTCTGTAGGTGATTTAATAACAGATCCTAATTTCAAGCACTGTTTGCCTCCAAAATGCGATGCACCTTGTTACATTGAAACTAATATTGCTCCCGGATCGTGTCCCGGATGTGTTTGTCCTGGCAAGTACTAAATATTTATAATACTTGTTATATTGTTATTGGGCTACAATTTTCAAATTACAGACCTATAAATTTCCATTCTCATTTATCCTTCATTAATCTCAAGAACAGAGTGAGATAGATGAAAATCAAGACCAGATATGAAAAGCCTAGGGATTAGAGGCTCCATTTAACTACATATGAACCTTCCAGTCTGGTCATAAAGTCACAGTTTTTTAAATTTAAAACATGAATAAAAATTGTAGCCTGGCATTATGATAAATTTATGATTCTTTATTTATGAATTCTTTTACAGGGGGTTCAATAACAGATCCTCATTTTAAGCATTGTTCACCTCCAAAATGTGATCCTCCATGTCAAATTAAAACTAATATTGCTCCTGGTGAATGCCCTCACTGTGTTTGTCCTGGTAAGTATTAATATGAATAGTTCTTCTTCTAGATTTATTTTTTCATATATTCACAAGAGGTTACATTGTCCACAAGAGACAAGTTTCTAAGTTTAAAAATACCCTAGTAAAATTGACTAAAAATCTTTCTGAAAGACAGAGATTTACCTTTAATAATGCAGCCAAACTCTATTCATATCTTTTCAAAGGAACTGAGAGAAACATTCAAGTAAAACTATTTTGAATTATTTTCTGAGTGAATGTATATGTCACAAAAGTACAACCATACAACTGGATTTATAGGTGTAATTCTTGACAAAAACGTTTCAATTTACTACATGATCTGTATATTACATTTGTAATATACAGATGTAATATACAGATGTATACTACATCTGTATATTACATCTGTATATTACATTATTTGAAGAACACATAAAAGAAAAGGTGAAACAGTGTGAAATTAAATGTACATATTTTACATACTTTTCAAATTTAAATGTTAAAAAAATTGGATCAAGTTTTATTTGTTTCTTGTTTTTTTCTAATGGACTTGCCACATACTGGTACGGTATGTGAAATAAGTTGTCTCGTTTTGCCGAAACTCCAGTCACACGAATGAAAGGCGTCATTCTAAAAGTTCACACTGACAGAGAATAGTGAAAATAAATGGGAAACCAGAGAGCAATTTTTATTCACTTAAGCAAAATCAATTTACACTACAAAATATGGAAAGCATAAATTTTCAATGTGTCGGATTGGCGATTTTCTAAATGGGAGAATTTGTCGAGTTGTAAAAAGCAAAACAAATAATATATAACTTGACGATGTGTTATGTACTATTCACTTTGCTTTTTGCATCTGCTGGCTATTTGCTGTTGGTGTGGACAAGCTGAAACGAATACATAATTCACTTTTTCAGTTTTTTAATACTGGCTTCAAATTTCAAAGTGAAGCTATTAATTCAAAGTGAATAATACATAAATGTACATAATAATACATGTATAAGTGTGAAATAGTGTAAATTTAAAACATAACTGAAGTGTTTTATAATAGAGAAATTATGTGCAGAAAATATTCAGTGTATAATTATGAAAAATGAACAACTGAGAAATGTATAAACCGAGTCTGACTGTAATTTAATTAATTAAAAATAAATGCAAACATGACTAAAACATCTGACAGTTCAAATTTTTGATTGATTCATAAATTATTTTGGCTTTTAAACATATATATATATATATATTAATTAGAACCAAAATCCTGTATTATTATATTTATAATATGATACTTATAATTTCTTTTATAGAAATAACAGATCCAAGTTTCAAGCACTGTTCGACTCCAAAATGTGATCCACCTTGTCACATTCAAACAGATGTTGTTCTGGGATCATGTCCCACATGTGTTTGTCCTGGTATATATTTAACATTTTAAAACCAAAATTAAATATTTTAGAATTTCATGAAATTTTTACATGTAACAGATATAACAGATCCAAGTTTCAAGCACTGTTCGACTCCAAAATGTGATCCACCTTGTCACATTCAAACAGATGTTGTTCTGGGATCATGTCCCACATGTGTTTGTCCTGGTATATATTTAACATTTTAAAACCAAAATTAAATATTTTAGAATTTCATGAAATTTTTACATGTAACAGATATAACAGATCCCAATTTCAAGCATTGTTCACCACCAAAGTGTGATGCACCTTGTTATGTTCAAACTGATGTCGTTCCTGGTGAATGCCCTGGATGTGTTTGTCCTGGTAATCATAAAAATATACATTTTTGTCTATGACCTTTTTTGCAATTACAGAATATTACAAATGTATATAAACTTTCCATGTATTTCAATCACTTCACATTCCTTAGTCAATAATCTACTACTGTACTAATACTCCATCTTTGATACAACATACTTGATAAGGACATGAAAATGTTTGATGTTTGAGAAAAGTTCTTTATTGTTTCTTTAATTCGCTTTCATTTATCTTAATTAGTATTAACATTGCAATTTTACTTATTTTTATATTATTCATTTATATTATTTAGTCATGATGAATAAAATAAGTAAGCTATATAAAGAAAGATGCACGGATGTGGCAATAAAAGTATCGGCTTTCCATTCTGAAGAACTCAAATTCAACTCTAGGTCCATCGTTTGAAATTTTCATGTGTAGTTTGACCCATATACATCTGGCTACTTTCCTCGCCACCTTGTGTCATCCTATTGTTGACCTGACCAAAGCCACAATGGGCACAAAAAAAGGCCTTCTTACTACCCTTAAGATGAAGAGAGTTTAAAAGATAAGGCTATGTGCAGCCAGTATTCCATGCACTATTATTGGGGATTTGAAAAGAGTTATGCAAAACAAAGATCATTAAAATTGAATTAAATTTTGTGAAAAAGATTAAATATATAAATAACCATTGTAACAATACAATTTTAATTTATTATTTGTTTACAATCTAAAATTTGGAAAGCAAGTATTGAAAATTTGTTGTGCATCATATTATTTTCTTATTATTAAATCACAATAAACTATTTTGCAGATGACAGATCAAACGATCGTATCCCCAAAGTATTATGCTCGATGCCATTGTGTATTGCACCGTGTCACATTCAACAATATATAAATCCCGGTGAATGTCCCAGTTGCATTTGTCCAGGTATAAAAATAAAAATAATTAATGCATAAATTAGAGTATTCTGTAAGAAATTTAATTATATTAATTTATTAATTTTGCTATTCCATAAATATTATCATCTATAGATGTTGCCAAGTTCTCATTACATTGTTCTATGCCAAAGTGTGATTCTCCTTGCCAAATTGAAAGAAATGTTCTTCCTGGCCAGTGTCCTAGATGCAATTGTCCTGGTGAGTTTTGCAATCCTGATTTTATGCTATTTAAAAATTCTTAACTAAGTAGTTATATGAAAATTATAGTTTTAGTAGTTTTAACCTGACTTTCGCAGCATTTTGAGACATTGTAACAAGTTCCACGAAGTGTTACGAGATCTGATAATTTGACTTAAAAAAAATTATTAGTTATTAGATACAGTAAAACCTGTGTAAACTGGAATCATACCATATCAAATTAATTTTTAACCTATTGGATAAGTTTAATCCAAGTTAATCTGAAGTGATTCCAACTAAAGATGGGAGAATTTGAATGCAAGAATTGAGAACTATTTCATTCTAAAAAGTTTGTATTGTTCCAAAACTTGTACTAAGTATTTGATTACTTCTCAGATGCAGTTGTTGAGTTCGCACAATGGCAAACAAGCCAGTTTGAATTAAAAAAAAAAAACTAGTGTTTTGCTCTGCCATCAGAAATTTTAATTGCATTACAATAATACAGAAACTGGAATTTTAATACTCTAATCAACTTCTTTTTGAATACCCAATACTATTATTTATGAAATACTCTGTACAAAGCAAATTGGCAGTGCTTGTGATACAAATTACAATCAGAACTTTGTTACAATTAACCAGGAGCAGAATCAAAAAAGATGTGTCCATGTCCCTCTGTCATGTGATCTTTGTTTCTCTGTAAAGGTTCAGAATTGTTTGCAGAGATCATTATATCTGAAGGCAATTTTACTTATTTGTGTACAAGTGGAATCTTAATTTTGTACTTTATTCAGGTTAAGTTAGTTCTTTGTATCCAAAAACCTCTCTAGATTCTACATTGGAAAGATTTGTGGCTTATAGAAAATTTTAACATAGAAAAATCTTCCTGTTTAGACAAGTTTCACTGTATTTACTCAAATTAAGATGCCCTTTAATTTCCACATGCTCACCCTAAGATCTTTTTAATAAACAATTTGAGACAGACTTAATACAAATAATACTGAACATTTCTGTTGACTTAAGTAACAATTATATTATTCTAGATTTTAAACTTTTAATATATAATTAAAAATTTTAAATCCAGCATAATTCCAGAGAAAATTTCTGAATAATAAATGATAATTTCAATGTAATCTTGACTTAATGAAATTAAAGATGAAAATTAGGTATTACAAATATTCAAAATATCTTTAATGGATGCATTTTGACAAGTATGATTTTACCTTTACCTTTAATGGACAGTTTCAATGTTATCGGCAACTCGTCGTCATTATTAACACTTTGTGCTAATTTCAGCACTGGGACACTACATCATAGTCTGAAAGCATTTAAAGAAAAGCTTCATAGAAAATGTTTAGGAAAACAAATTAGAAAATCTAATTCAAATTTTAAAAAAGTAATGCTTTCAATTTGGTAATATACAATTTGAGTTATTTATGCTTAAATTTAATCTACAGTAGAGCATCGATTATCCGACCCCCGGTTAACCGACCGTTCTAGTTGGCAAATTTCAAATGTCTGCTAGTGATGTGGCACTACAATATTTGGCTATGTCTTGGCTATTTTAATATTATTTTTGTTAAATTTTTGTGTGTTTTAGCTGGCAAGTGGTCGAGCTGGACCATTGAAGGGCAGCCAGTATTTAAACGAGACTTAATTTTCTAATTATGAGTGGTTGTTTGTTTTGTGAGCAATAAAATAATTTAAAAATAATTTTTAATGATATAATAGCGACAATTATTATTTAAAAAAAAATTTGTTAGGCTTAGACAACTTCGCATTGAGGAAAATTCAATGCGAAGTTGGTTAATAAGCGATATACTAATATACTAATTACATGGGATATACAGTACTAATATACTATAGTAATAATGTATTTTTTTCATTCTTTTCGGTTATCCGACCAACCTGAGTCCCCAATTGAGTCAGATAATCGATGCTCTAGTGTACTTATATATTATTGTATAAAGTAAAGGCTTTTATGGAAAGTTGATATATCTGTTCTTAAGAACACTGAAACCATTCGTTAATCTAGAAATGTTTTCGGTCTTAATTGGATCATCTTCAACTATTGAAGAACAGAATACATTTGGATCTCAAAATGGAATGACGTTGATAATTAAAAAATTATTTTTTGTTATTTGATTTTGAGATTCAAATGTATTCTGTTCTTCAATAGTCGAGGATAGTCTGATTAAGGCTGAAAATGTTTCTAGATTAATGAATGGTTTGGCATCCTTAACAAGCAGATACGTTGACTTAACAGCGATGATAAGCTTTAAATGTAAACAAATATTTTTTGTTCTTAAAGCCCCTAACTTTCAAATAAATTCTTGCGTAAAAGATGGTGTAAGGAAATGAAAACAATGTTTAATGAATAATCACGGATGGATGCTACTCTGGGAAACAAAGATTTCGGCCTAGTCCTTCGTCACTATGCTACCTCACCTGGCCAAGCCCAAAATGGTTATGGAAAAAAGGCCCTTTTAGTTCTCCAAAGCAGAAAGAATCAAAACTGAAAATAATAAAATCTATTTAAGGTTTCATCATAGTAAAACTTTTTCATATTCTTAAAATTTATACTACATTTTTAACTCTAAGACAATATTTTCATATATTTGATTATGTCAAAAAATTCTCTTTTAACGCTGAAATGAATATTTAAGAAATACTTGTTAAAAATTATCATCTGATTAATGTTTTGAATAACAAGATGTTCAGAATATTTTTGACATTTTTATGTTATAATTATTTTAGCTTTGTAGGTGAAATTTATAAAACTAAAATTACCACCGATTAATATTCAACATTTTACTTTGCGTAACCCACGAATATTTTTATTCAGAAAGCAAAGACCTTCCCGAGATATGGTGTTCCCCTCCGAAATGTCCCTCGAACTGTTATCTTCGGCATCTCCCCAACGAACCCTGTCCCGGATGCGTCTGTCTTCCAGAAGGTGAGCAGATATTTTATTATATTTACACCGATGACAAATGTAGTTGGCCGTTGCAATTTGTTTTGAAAACATTAACAAATCAAGCAGATAATTGCAGGTTTCTAGAAACCATTACTTTGTTACTAATCCGAGTTTGGGGATGACCTTGGCAACAAAACTCAATTTTAGGGCAGTAATAAAATTCAAATAAGAATTGTTTGGCAAGATGTTTCTAAAATAAAAACTGTTGTCAAACAAGATTAAATCAAGCAACACAGATATTACCAAGATCATCCTTGAAGCTGGACTAGTAAAGAATTTGAAAGTAATGGTTTCTAAAAAACTGAAGTAGTTAGTTGGTGTTTTTGGCCATTTTAAATGGTTATCAGGTTTATTATGAGAATGGGATTAAGATGTAAACCCATTGAAAAATCTTATTTAATTTCAAAATTCTGCCATATTCTAAAACTCTGTAAAATTGAGGATTGACAGTATGTTCTGATGTAAAGAATTTTGGAAATGAAGTATTTGATAATATCAGGCAACATTTTACAAATTGTTTATATCCCCAATTGGAAGTGTGGGGTTTGTTTCTCTTATGATGATTCCATATAAATATTTGTTTTATAGAATATATCTCCAGATTTAATGGACAGCTGATAATATTAGGCCATCCTTTCTCTCTTTTGGTCCTTCATATAAAGGATCACTAATATTAATGTGTGTGTCCATTCATTGCACTAGTTTCAGTTCTACACAATTTGTATGAAATTTTATTTTCATAGTTTTATTGAAATGCAAATTAACAGAAAGTAAATGATGATTGCTATCAAGTGATTTTAATGATTTATATGGTGTTTGTATATTGTCATGGTGATGTCTGGTTTTTACTTATTGTGGTCTTTGATCTGATATCCACAAGCCTTCTTTTCAATGGATACTTAGAGAACAATCGAGTCAACATTGGTGTGAGATAGACCAGCTTGCCTACTTTTCTAGCCCGGCCACGGAGAACTGCACACCCTCATTCTCTGATGTGTCTTTACAGTATACAGTAAAACCTGTAGGTGAGCCTATAATTGTTTAAATGCTAGCACCATATGGTTTCCTTGGCCTTGATATGCAGAGGAAGCACTCTGTTGATGACTTGTGGTGTGGCAGTGGGGGTGGTCTGGTAGGCCCTAAGCAGCATTAAGAGAGTGATCTGTTGGACCTGATATGTGCACCATAAATGACAGAGGTCTCGGAGAAAAGCAAGCAATAGAATGACGACTGAAGATCCATTTGAGATAAAAGCTTTTATTCCTTTTGGTCTCTCAACTGTCTATTCTGATTGCTAGCTATTCAAAGGATGAGAAATCACTATCTTTTTTCATTCCCAGGTGGAATTTGAGACTCTCTAAGATGATGCTAAAGTTTGAAACCAATCTGAGACATTCAGTCTTGGGAACTTCAAAAAGAATAGTGCATAAAACTCTTAAAAATAAACACAAAGATTGTTTAATTCCCTTTTTCCTATAATAAAACATTTTTTAAGCACATTTAGTGAGAGGTTCAGACTTTTTCCAGAACCTCACAAAATGTATATTATTAACAGAGTTAAATAATTAAAACTTTTGTTTATTAATTTCTTCTTAGACATTCATAAACGTCACTGTTCCATGCCGAAATGCGAAGATCCCTGCAGACTCAACATGAATGTACCCATTGGCGCATGTCCGTCCTGCATCTGTCCAGGTAAATTCATATTTACATTTAAAATTTTGTGAGTTATACGAATATGAATTTAAATTATCTTAGCTTCTTATAATCATTTAAATAGATATATGTCAGTTGATTAAAATATAATTTTTTGTTTCATATTACTTTAAATGGAATATATAGTAATTAAGTTTATAAAGTTTGGCATTCATTAGATTTTGTTATATTCTGCATTTGTAATTTTCAGTCAAAGGCCCTCTCTACTTAATCTTTGATCGATAAAATTCCACAAGGTAATTTGTATGCAACTTATTTTAACAAAATAAAAATGTATCAATTTGGTCTGTAGGACATCGAAACACACAACTTCATCTTATAACAACATATAACAGTGTCCACAAGGAATACTTATTTGCAAATTCATAATCTATAGATGCATGCAGAAATTTGTAATTAGTTCTTGCTGCCAATCTTTCTTCTACTCCCTGCAAGAGCATGGGAGAAAAGTGTAAAATTTTTAATGACCCCTCTTAATTGCAGAGATGGGGATTCTCTTCCCCTGCTGGAAATTTCTCATCGATCTTTTGCAGCATCTGCCGACGTCACGGTCTTTGGTTATTTGTCTTGTTTAATCTTTCATGTCAAAAGATTACCACTATGCAATGGTTTGGAAAAATGCAAAGTTATACTGTTAAGCATTGATCTTAATACAGAAAGTAAAGTATTCTAATAAGCCAGTAATAACCAATTTTTCAAAAAGAATTCTTAAAGTTATTTGATTTGCAGAAAAATAACTTTTGGGAGTTAAAGTTGCAGTGATCAAGATAATATTGGACGTCTTCAGTAAAGTCATCATTAAGTAACTTATTAATAAGTTTACCAAAAGTGTAATTAAGTACCTGTAAGCCAAATTCTTATCGCAACACATTCATAAATTCAGATGCAGTTTTGTGCATATTATCTACATTGGCATATACCTTACAAAAATTTATTTAGCCCACACCATCAAAAACAAAACGTTCTACCCGTAAGCAATTTATAAGACATTCTCTCATTCCATATTTCTGGATGTAATTATAAAATAAGTGAAAGAGAAGAAACTGCCTAAAGTGCATTATGAAAATATTATTTTTTGAACAAAGTCAAATGGATTGGTACTGGTCGGATAGGATAATGCAATTCTGTTTCATTCACCCATTTACTGTTTGTTGAATTTATTTTTTTTTTTTTTTTTCTGGTCTTCAATTGAATATTATAAGAATTCCAGTTCAAAAATCAATTTTTAATTATAATCAATTTTAAAACTAATTAATGTCATTTTGCTAACAAAATCAAAACTAAAATAACACTGCTGTGTGTAAACAAGATATGAAATGTATGTTTAAAACAACTTCCCTAGCTTGATCTTTTAACAAGAATATAAATATGCCAAGTTGACTGAAACTTTTCATAATCATTTTAATTAGGGGTAAATCTTTTTTATTTTTGCATCTGTCCAACAAAAGATATCTGTCTAGCTTAATGTCAATAATACATGTGCAGCATATTTCTTGTTTGAAGTGCAGGATGGCAGAAATTATTGCCATACTATATATGGAGTAAATTAGTGACTATTACTTTTACCACTTATGTCGTCATTGTTGATTGAAGACTTTCAAACTCTTCATTGGATATTGTAAAATCTACTGCGTGCTAAACTCAACAGTTGTGTGTGTGTTATTATGTGGAAGGGAGAGTATTGCTGGAAATTTATGAAATTTTAAATAGGAGCATCTAATAATATCAACAGGTCTTAAAGCAGTCATGGCAGTGAAAAAAGCGAGTTCACACTGAAAAGAAGCTAAAAGTGTTAAAGTGAATTAAAAGAGGCATTATTAAAAACACAAACACACATACACCAATAACATTGCATATGATATTAGATTGATTTTTTTAATTGGACTGAAAAAATTAAATATGAAAGTAGTTAGGCTGAGTTTATACTCCAGAACAAACCTGCATTAAGTTTTCATGTGCCCTGTATGGAGTTCCTACCATTATACAGCAAAGGAAATGGAAGAGTAATATAACTACCAGAATGTGTCTCCATATAACATGTGAAATTTCACATGCCATTTATTTCAAGGTATATTTTTTGATTTCTTGTTAAAAAAAATTTGTAATTAAAGATGATTTTCTTTTGTTTAAATCATGCTGCAGTTTCTGCACTTTTCTCCTCTTCCTCACTATAGAGTTTATGTATTAAAGGATCATTGCACTGAAAATGCCCAGTAAACTTTGTGAAGAGTTCAGCTTTGATGGTAGAACACTTGAAAGACTGAGATTATCTTATATGAAACACTATTCATTAAGCTGGAATGTGCTTTAGGAAGTATAATATGAGTCCATAAATTTGTTGCATGGCAAATTAAGTTTCTGTTGAATTTCTGTGTATTCATCCCACCTAGAGGGCCGCCCATCAAAAAAGCTGTCTTGCTATGATGAGATCACCGTCATCTCCACCCAACTCTTTCAGGCCTTTCAAAAAGGCATTGTGGATTGTATGAATACTGCAAGTCCCTATGTTGATGAGGCCTTTTTTGCAATTTTTCAGAATTTCCTCATTTATGAGATGCAATACTTTTTCGTTTACATTTGGTCCATTGCATCCAATCATCAGTAATTTGTCAAAAGGTAGTTATGCATCTTCAATTGCCAGTATTATTTTAGATTTAATTGTTTCGGCATCTGCTTGCCCAATAAATGAGGTCTGGAGATGCCTGGAGACAACTTCTTGTTCCTCTGACCAGTATTTTCAGTTATTTTCTGTCTTCTACATTGCATGTCTCATCATAAGAAATTCTATAATATGATCATTATGCATTATCTACCATTTGATCAAAGAAATGTGGGGCCAAAGCTTCATTGATTAAGTATCTCATTTTCTGATGTGATAATGAGAATTATTTTGGAAGATTGTCTCCTTTATATCATGACATGATGCAAATGAATAATTGCTGGCTGTCAATTTCATAGTTCATATAAGCTCTGCAATGTAAGCACCATCTTTTGCACTACAAAGTTGAAGCACTGGTTGTTGCAATGATTGGTGTTCTGAACTGGCACCTGAGTCTACAACATTGGTCCCAAGCAGTTAAGACTGATGACTGCCCCTCAGATGTCTCAATGTCAAAGTATTAGTGCTGAAAGTGTTGCTAGTGTGAGCAAAGGCTTCATTGCATTTATTTGTGTTTTTCTTGCAGCTTAAATGTTGGAGGATTGCTGATCGCTATTTTGCTCCTGAACGAACGCATTTACAAAAATAAATAAGTAAATTCCACATGGAAAGTGAAAAAAACCTAAAAAGCAAGTCACTTTAAGCCCTGTATCAATTAAAATGTGGAGTGACATATTCATATCTTATTTCTCTCTCTCTCTCTTTTTTTTTTATATCTCATTTTTATGGGTTTTGGGAAAAATTGCAAGGTGTGTGTTTTCTGATTTTTTCATTTGTCTAAACTTCTTTAAAAATCTATTAGATGATTTTTTTGATAATCTGAAACCGTATTGTGACTCTTCTTTGATTCTTAAACACTATGCCAAGTGTTTTAATTTATTACACTACATTCTATCATCTTTATTTAGTTCAGTTGATTAGATGATTTTCATATTACAGTTTAAAACTGACAGATAACTTTCAGGTTAACTTCATTTGAAAGGGACGTGGATTACTTGCAGAAAATCTTAATACATCCGGAATAGGTTTTGAACTGTGAAAATAATATATGATATGATAGAATTGTTTCCATTTATTCTAACAGATTAATCTATAACAATTATCCAAATGAATTTATATAATTCATAAATCAGATTATGGGCAGTAAATATTCTCAATTGGCACAATGATACTAGACATAAGTTATTAATTTAATAATTAAATTTATTTTTATTTGAGATTAAATTAATATTAAATTTCTATTATATAACAATTCAAATTGTTTTAATTTTATAAATTACAGGTGACAGTGTTCATAAATACTGTTCTCCTCCAAAATGCGAAGAGCCCTGTAGAATACAGAGAAACGTGATTCCCGGAGAATGTCCCGGATGCATTTGTCCAAGTAAGTTCTGACAAAACTAGTAATTTTTCTAATTCAGTTTAATTCTGAATAATGTTGAGACATTGTCACTTTATATTCTGGATAAATGGATGCAGGGAACAATCGACCACTTTTTGATGTTCTTGAAAAATTCAATTTGTTAATTAAATAAACAGCATAAAAACTACATTAAAAATATAATTAAATTTTTATATCAAAACTGTTTTTTTAGTTTAGCCTCAGTTAAACTTTATATATATGTAAATATTTTGAATTTTAGAAATTGTCTTAATTAAAGTTTCATTTATTACAAAAGATGTAACAACAGAACACCAGAAATACAAAAAATACTGCTCACCTCCTTTATGTCCTGATCAGTGCACTGTGCAGAAGGATCTGCCTCCTGGAGAATGCCCCGGATGTGACTGCCCGGGTATGTAAACTGTAATTAAATAAAAACAAATTAATTTTAACTTTATGACCAATTTATTTAATTTAAATTTAGATGAACAGTTACACTGTTCGCCTCCCAGATGCGATTCACCCTGCCGCACCCATATTGTTACACCTGGAGGATGCCCTACCTGTTTGTGTCCTGGTAAGTGTATTTGTTATTATTACACATCAGAAAATTTGGGTACTATCCCAATTTTGGAAGAATATGTTGAAAATATGCTCTAAACATTACATGAGACCCTTCTTTCTTAACGAACTGTTGTTATAGGCAATAGTTTTTAAATGTTCCACTTTGAGATGGTGTAAAGGAGTATTGAGACCATCTGAAACTTTGTGATGTGCATGATCTGTCCTCTTGGCAGTGATAGAGATTATGGTTTGCTGTAGCATGTCCCAGATACGCTTTATGGAAGTCTGTGTGTGGAGATTTCATGGGTCACTTGATCTGTCTTCCTGCTATATGTATGTGCTTACAAAATGTCCATGATGACAATGAGCACATCATCCTAAAAGATGAAACACGAGGAATGGGGTGTCAAAGACATGCAACATATCCAGACTCTCATCCCACCTATCGAGTATCAGACTGCATTGTGCCATCATTGTACGATACCTCCTACTTGATCTGTTACTCATTTGTATCAAGCTTTATGGTGATGCTGGTTGAGTGTTCTAGCTTGAAATCATGTAACGCATTGATATGGAATGAGTTTCTGAATGCCACTGGAGTAGCATTTGGAAACTCTGAACAGAGCCCTCTTGAAATAACCTTGGAATTATGACTCTGCAAAAGTGTCGCATACTAGTTACATGTGGGTGACCAGTACAATGCCTATCAACAACACATGCAGTGTTTTGGAATCTTTGCCAATATGCAAAACATCACTGTGGCTTCTCCCAGAATTCAAGCATTTCACGACAGAATGAGAGATTGCAAGTCATAATCTGCAAACTATCAAAACAGAGTAATGGGTTGATGAGGCAGCATTTCATTATTTCAATACACCTCTTGGGAGGTACTGTACTATCCATAATATGGTTTGGTCTCAGATGGTTCATTGAAGCCAGTCCATAGGTGGTGACAAACTTTGACTAAGATTTAATAAATATACACACATCACAAAGACGTTATGTTTAGCTACTATATTATCAGGTGAGAAATGCATGAATAGAAGAGATTAAGACAGATAGAGAGAACTAAAGAATAGTAAGCTGTAAGCTTAGTTGTTTGCCATTGTATATATAGAATGCAGTCTGTAACGATATTTTGTTTTATGCGATACGCTTCTTGTCTAGTCTTATGTTCAAATATATGAGCGCTAAGATGGCCTTTCTTTTCCGCTAGACTTATTACACTATCAATGAAACGGAGGACAAACTTTAGAAAGACTTTTTATTTATTTGAGTATGCATTTCCCTTCCTCCTTCACTCTTCTACAATTCCCTAACCCCTCAAAAACACCTGTTTTTTCAATCCTCCCTTCCCTTACGTCCACCCCACCTGCTACCTCTCACAATTTGTGGACCATCCCACCCTGTGAAACTCTACTGTAAACTAAAACAATCTATTTCTGTTCCCTTTATTTTAATGGTGCACTAACCTCACTTCATCATACTTGTTGTTCCAAAAGGTTTCTATTACCCTTACTGTGATCAAGGTTCCCAAATTTTATAATATTAACTCAACATTGTGTCATGTATACTGGGATGTTTTTTCCAACACTATGTACCAGGCTGTCATGTTCATTGTAAGTTCAAAAACTTTATGTTTATCGTTCCCTTTTGTAAATCATTTCCAATTTAATCATTATAGTAGCTTATACCTATTAATCAATAATCACCATCCGTATTTTATCTAATGTCACAACTCCTGCATTTCTCACAATCCATGTAAGTTTCCTATTGTTCTTTTACAATTTTGTAACATTAAAATTTTGCTAACTTGTATACATTATGTTAATTTTCCCTATACAGTTGTAACACAAGAGTTGAAAAGGGATATAATTATCCGAAATGCATACTCAAATAAATAAAAAGTCTAGAAAAGTTTGTCCTCCGTTTCATTGATGGTGTAATAAGTCTAGCGGAAAAGAAAACCATCTTAGCGTTCGTATATTTGAACGATATTTTGGTCAAGTGAAACAGTTCTAGAATGACAAGAAAAAGGAGCTTACTGTGAAACTAAAAAATGCATGTAAGAAAAGATTGCTAGAGGACATGCTATCAGAAAGCTTTAAAGAGGTTAAGTTAAGTAAAGTAACTTATATATTTAAAAAAGTAAAATATTTGTGATTAGAGATGTGTTCCAATGCTGTCTTTATTTTTAATATTTTATACAATAAAAATGCAAACATTTTAGAGATTCATCTATCTAAAATAGAAGGAAGAAACAATTTTTTTTCTTTAAGATTTGATCCTGGAACCTATTTCAGCAGAAGTAGCTGCATTAATCACTGCCTCTCCACTGCATACATCATTGACTTTAAAACCAGGAGAATATTGAGGTAAACAAGGGCATTTTTAGAGCATGAGACAAGAAAAATGTTTTTGACCTGTTATCTGTTTGGAGAAATAATGTAATGTAATGAATGGCGCATTAAACAACAAAGAATGTTTGATATTAATAGCAAAATCTAGAGAAGTCAATGCCCACAGAGATATTACTAAATGAAATTGTACTATAAATAGAAGAGGTGATTGGGAATTTTTTGTCTTTTGTGATAATTAAAATATGGAAACCAAAGAGAAACATCAAAAGTGCATTACCATTTATCATCCAACAATTTTGGACCTTGTAAGGAAACTCTAGTATGAGGTTTTTCTTAAAATTCAAACTAGAAATGCCAGTACAGTGGGTGATCAGATAAAAAATCTTTCATTGTCTTAACATAACGAACACAAAAGTGTTCGTTATGTTAAGACAATGAAAGATTTTTTATGTTCAGACAACAAACACCTCACAGAACAAAAACATGAAGAAGCAACATAAAATAATGAATATCAATTGGTCTTCCCTTATCTTCAGGAAACAGTTAGAAACTTTTCAGAGTAACGGCAACGTCTATATCAACGCTCAACCCAATATATACTGATCAGATAGTATTCCTCCAAACGCTGAAACTTTCCCTTGTAATTCCAGCCTTTTATTTTTCTGACAGAAGCAATTCTTTTATAATATTTGCAAGCATTCGTTAAGTTTATTGTATGCATTATCATGTCACTCCACTTAGAATGGTGCATATATGCTCTTCTAAGTGGAGTGACACGATAATTGAACTACAAAATATAGAATGCATTGCAGTGGCACACGGATCCAAAAAAGAACTAAGACGAGGACTAGCATGTGCCTGTTTCCAAACATGTGATACACAGGAGGCACCTATTACTCAAAAGACTAGTCAGGACCCAACCAGAAGACACAACATTGTTGAATACAACAAACGATTTCATACATTATATAAAAAAATTGCAACTAAAACGAACACCAGTGTAGCGTACCAAAGATCCGCAATATATATCAATTATTATGTAATGCAAAAGACAAACAGAATGATCTTAGGGCTCTGGGGGTATATAGTATTCCTGTGAGAGATGATAGATTTAAGAGAGAAATGGTGTACATTGGCTCCACGAAGCATTCCATCCAACAGAGGATTAAGGAGCACAAATGTGACATAAACCATGTTTGTTACACCACTGTCCTATCAACCTACTCAACCGACCTGGATATTCACGCAGAACTATCCAATGCCAGATTAATAAATAGAGCTTTTCATACAGACCACATCAGAACCCTTGAAGCCCTGGAAATTTACAAAGCCGGCTGGACAGGAAGATGTATAAACACCAAAGACTGCAACACACTTTCCTATGCTTGGTGCTATGTATGCGAAAAACAAGAAAACGATGACGATACGTAACATGCGCATGAGTTCGACTATTTTAAAACTAAACGTTCATTCTAAGAGTGGAAACAGACCTTGACTGAGGCCGAAAACGTTTGTTTTTATGAATAGTCAAGAAGCACCGGACAATAAAGGTTTAGTAAGTACGATTTTGTTCAAAATACCAGTATTCGGATTAGAAGATTTGTGAGATACCCTCCAAGACAGCTTAGTGTAAAAGCTATAAATATAGGAATAGGATAGGATTAGGGGTCCATTCTGAGACAGGCCTTAATGAATGGCATTCTATGTCTGCAAAAATAACTACTACAAGAACAATGGGAAAATCTTTACCCATTTACTAAAAAGTATTTCAGTCATTACTGACTACAAGTTACCATTTCTTGAATCTTGATATTGTACACTAAACTTTATAGTTTGAAATGGCAGTGTTTAATCTTCAGATCAAAAGCCTAGAGACGTTACTTGTCTTGAAAAATATTCTCTCTTAAAATGACTAGTGTACAATACTAAGAATACATTTATGGAGTCACCCATAAGCAGGAGGAGACAAATTATGTGGAACACTTTTTCCCTAAGGTTAATGTTTATTTCTAGTTAATTAAAACATATAAATATTTCTAAACCTACACATATGAAATTTCATGTTTTGCTAACGAGGGGACAGCATGACGTCGGGCTCACCAATTTTGATCAAATTAGATTAGGTTATAGTGAATCCCCAACCACTGACACTTGATAAAAATTGGTGACCCCAACATGGTGCCATCTCCTCGTAAGATCTAAAGCAAGAGAACATTGGATTTTATAAACCACAGAACTCAAGATTATGAGACCGAGCACATGTGTAAAGTGATAGTGAAACTTATGTATGTAGCTGACTCAGCAAGACAATATTCTTTTATATATTACTATAAGTGCTTAAATGCATTTCTATCAACATCCACTTACAGGAAAAAGTCCTAAATAATTCAATCATATCATAAATAGAACTGCATCCTACTTAACTCTTATTACATCTCTACCTCATAAAAGTTCATTAAATTGATTATTTCAAGAGACAACAATACTTTAGCATAAATATTATTGGAGTCTCTTGTCGCAATAGCATTTTGAAAAATTGTATTGTTATAATTCCCAATTTTATGCAAACTAAAGCAATTAATTTCTTTGTAGATAATTTACAGAAGCACTGTTCCATGCCCAACTGTCAACCTCCCTGTGAAGTGCAAAGAACGGTGGCATACGGCGAATGTCCGGGATGTGTCTGTCCTGTCGGCTAAAACAAGCCGCCGTTACCAATTTCTCTAATCAAAGTAAATATCAGAAAGGGTGTAAAATATTGTGAGCATTAATCATTTTATAAATGTATGCATAATATCTTTGTTTGAAATAAAAATGATAATTTCATTGTAAATTATTGGAATTTAAATGTTATTTATACCATCTTTTCTTGTTCAAATGTTCACTGTAAATTTATGAAAGCACTTATGTGCAGTTTTACATTAAAAACCTGGAAAATATTTACCCCCCTCAAATTAGCATCAATTTCACTAACATCCTATAACTATACATATTCAATTTTATAAATAATTTATATATATATAGACCACAACCAAAAGAATTTCTATATCTTCCTTATATCAGTAACATGATGACAACAACAAAATTAAAAATATTGCAACTGTTAAAATACAGTAGATCAGTAGACTGTTTTTACTGTAATTACAGATTTAAGTTGTTTAGCAGATTCAAAACATACTTCATCTTATCAAATTAATCTACTTTGTATATGTATAAACAGTAACTTAAATTAATATTTAATGTAGGAGAATTTAAGGTGTGTTTATACATATACAAAGTGATTAATTTGATAAGATACGTTGTATTGATTTTTCTTTTGCAACAATGTACAATAACTTTTGTATGGGAATGTAATCAGCAAATGCCAATGACGTCATATACTAGACCAGCGATTCCCAACCTGTGGTACGCGTACCCCTAGGGGTACGCGATAGGTCGTTTAGGGGTACAGAAAAAAGTTAGTTATTATGGCAGAAAAAATAATATATTATGTATCACAAACTAATAGTATTAAAAAATTATTAGATAAAAAATATTCCTTGCAACAATCACAACTTTATTATAAATTTTTTCTTTTAGTTTTTTTTTTCTTTAATTTAAAGTTACAATATGTAAAATTAACAATACGGTTACTCACTAAATTTCTTAAATGAGGGGTACAATCTAGAGATATGACATGTCACGGGGTACGCAAATGAAAAAAGGTTGGGAACCACTGTACTAGACTGAGTGCGCTCTTGATTTCAAAAATTTTTACACCAGCTTTGAAACAGGGGTGGCATTGTAAGTATTCTGCAGAAAATAATGTCAGTTTAGTGTTCCCCAACTTCAAAAAGATTGAGATTTATGGTGTGTTTATTATATTGACATCTTCCTCCAGTCCTTTAGTCAATTTTAAGGCAAATGTTATATAAAACAGAGTGCAACCAGGAACTGATGAAATCTATACTGGAAACAGTGGATGCTCGCTTTAGCTCCATCATCCCAGCAGGCGATACCCTCAAGGCAATCAAGCCGAAGCAATCAGGGGGCAGGGAGAATTGCCTCCGTAAGGGTCGAGCAATGGGAGCAGGAAGTCGAGCTACTTATCTACATATTCTATTAGCTACTAAACCTATATAAATTTCTGAACAAAAAATTTACATTGAATGTTTGAAAATGATACAGGGTGTAAAAGAACTCTGTGTCAATATTTAGGAATAGGGTCAAAAAATAAGTTTAAAATCCTCTATAGAAATTTTTCAAAATTTGCTTAGTTTTTGAGATCTGGCAGGTAAAAAAATTTTAAACCAACAAAAGGAAACAGTTTGTTTTCCACTTGTGTTACCAACACTTACAAACTGAAGCTTTATTTTTTGAATATGTGCAAATTGAACTTATATGAAAACAAATATTTGGTTTCAACTGTTTGTAGAAGTAAATATAAGCATCCATTGAGGACATTTTGAGAAATCCTTGTAAATTATTCTGTTTAATTTTATAAAAGACAAAATGATGTTCAAAATAAATTTACATAAACAGCTAGGAAGCAAGAGTTTTTCTATTTTTTTTATCATGAAGAGGCAAATACTGCAAAATGAATAAAGTTTTGTTCTTATATTTTCAGATCGATTCTAAGGTAAAAAATTAAGCTTGAAATCATCTATAAATATTTTCAAATGCTATTCTTGAAATATGGCCTTTGCAAGCTAATTTCAAAAACAAGCAAACTGGATTTTGAAAATTTTTTTTAGAGGATTTTATGCTTATTTTTGACCTTAGAATCTATCCAAAAATATTGGCACAGTTTTTACACCCTGTATATGAACAAGTGGGCAAAGCTCGTGGGGCAAGTGACGGATAGAGTCCTAGCATAATATAGAGCTTTGCTTATTATAATTCATGGTTAACTGTTATTGTTATCTTAACTACAAGTGCCCGTTTACCATCTTAAATCAATGCTTTAAATAAACATCATTTTAATCATTATTTGCTCATGGTACGGTGGATTAAATTGCCGATATTTCTTATCACAATTATATTCTAGGTGTTGCTGAAAGTGATCACAGGAATATTACACACTAATTAAAAAATAAATCACTGTTATTTTTAGGACCTGACATTTTATTAAATGAAAGAAATATTTTCAGTAAAAATCCTCAGCTTAGAATATTTAAATTAGAAGAAATTCAGTTACAATTTTCAAATTTGAAATCCATGCAATAAGAACATATGAAATAATATAAATAAAATGAAACATTGTTCTTGAATTTGTACAAAATCCTAACACATATATAATTAGGCAAAATTTTGACATTAATTTTATAATGCTTGTAGCATAATTTGTTTTCAGCAATGAATTATTAATTCAATATAAAAACAATAAATATCAAAAGTAACTTTTTAATTGCTAGATCTATTTTGATAGATAAGTAATGTAATATTTACCAATTGCACATTAAGAGAGTGATATCCTTTTCTATTATCAATTATCCAGAACATATATATGTTATCCTCTACAGGTGGTGATACAATTGCCCCTATTACACCAGGAAAGAGTATTTTTCATAAAACCTAAAATGAAGAATTTACAATTTATTATTATTATTATTAAAGATGCCACAATATTGTTAATTCACTTACTGCTGTTTCAATCGTGCATGATCTTTTATGTTGAATGAATTCTAATCCTTTAATATATCCTTTATAGCTTTTGAAACACTTCTAATTGCTCAACTTACTGATTTCTGGCCTATTCCTAACTGGTACGAACCACAAGCAGAAACCATAAAGCTGCCAATACCTAATGAACAGTAATACAATACATGATAAATAAAACAGAATCAAACTTACTTATGAATGCTAGCAATAATTCATTCAGAATAAACACTCTTACACAATACACTTAATATAATTTTAACACACTCAAATTTAAAGATTACATTAAGATTTTAATTCTAAAACATTTAATTTTACTAAAATTAATGATGTCTGCAATTTATAGTGACATACATTTTAGTAATAATTACACGAGTAAAAATTGCACGAGGAAGATATTTTAAATACATATTATTACAAGTTTAAATGATATTACAATATATGATTATTTAGTACATTCACATCTGTATTTTATTATAATAATTTAAAAACTTACTTTAGTTTGAACACAATGCCGATCTACTAGTCTGCTCTTTCGGTGTTGGTCGAAGTGTATTAATAAGATTTGATGCCACTTCCTTCAAAAGCCTAAATAATCTCCTGAAATGTTTTTTGTGAAGATTAAAGGCATCTACTTGTGGTTGAAAAATTTGTTACTTTCTTAAATGAAGTCTTTCGGCTCTTTCTAATGTTTAAATTGTGATCAGAATAGCATACCCATCAGCAATTTTCACTTTTGTGTAGAGATCTCACATGCTCGACTCAAAGTGAGTAAGAATTTGCATAGTGAGATGGGAAAGCACGCAAGTTTTAACTTGAGACTACCAATTTGTTGGCGTGTGAGATGGTACCATGTGACACCTTCAACATGTTGGGAGTTGTAACACAAGAAAATCAAGACTAAGGGTTCGGGTCAAGGTCACTAGAGATTTTGAGTAGTTAGAGGTTAGTTAGTCAATGAACCTCTCCAATTATAATCTGTATAGTTGTCATTTGTTTATTCTTATTTTAATTATCATGTATGATTTAATTAGTCATTTAAATAAATACAGGGTTCCTACTCAAATTTTTGTTTTGAATTCCCTGACTTTCCCTGACCAACTTTGTCCAAATTCCCTGACCATCACATTTTTTAGTGTGGAATATCGACATAATAAAACAGCATTTANTTCCCTGACTTTTTCAAAAAATAATGAAAATCCCTGACTTTCCCTGATTTTCCCTGACTTTCCAGGTGCGTAGGAACCCTGTAAATAGTCAAGTTATACTCTTAACAAAACTAAGTGCCTAACTCCATCGTCAGTCCTATGGAAAATCGTCATCCCATGTATACAGTTGATCTTGTAAGATAAAAGTAAAACCCTCCTAAGCTCCAGTCATACTAAAAGCATTTTCAGACCACTTGTAAATTACGAAACTAATGCAATGTCATTGCAAATAATAATGCAAATTTAGTCTATCTTAACTGATGTCAGGATCCTGAAGTTTAGAAGGAGAGACCTTACTAATATCCCCTGAATCTTGATATTATCCTGAGATGATATCAAGATTCATTCTCTCTCACTATAAATCATGATTATGATATTATAGTGAGAGAGAGGGTAATCTGGAACACCCTCCCCGATCGCACATTTGGTGACAGGAGTTTGTCTTTCCCTGTACCCTCACTGGCATTCTCACAATAGTGTTAGTTGTCATTTTCTCTCTCTCTTTTCTGTTCAATAGTTTAATTTCTTGAAAAAAAGTGTATGCAACTTATTTTGCATACACAAAGACAGTCTTTGACCACTACATACAGCATTATAGAACTACTGACAACCAACATCAGTAATTAGAAAATTGATTGAATAAAGAAATTATAAACAAAATCTCAAAAATTCAGTTAACATATTTTATTATAAAATGAAAATTTTTATTGTACAAAATATTTGATTTATTTTATCCTTGCCATATTTATATATCTACTTTAAGTTATTAAAATATATTTATTATATACATAAAACATATTTGTGTGCCATAATTTTGTCAAGGCAATATTATGGCTATCTATCATTGTTTGCAGATGCAAAATTTTGCAACAGACTGACTTTTCGATTATCATTTTGTATACATTTACATTTACATTTATTTATATATATATATTGCATACGACAATTCATAGAAGTGGTTAAATTGAATAATTTCGAAGGGTCAAGCAGACCATATAGAATTTCAAAACTAATTATTTATTCTAACTAAAATATTCTATTTTGCATCACGTGGAAGAATCTCTGGCATCCAGTACGCCGGCGGGAACGTTCACTTCCAGACCATCCAACTCTTTCGTCACGCAGACTTGACAACCCAATCTGGATCTGAATAGCAATTATAATTAATCATTTCTTTAAAATTATGGTTAATAATTCTAATTTAAGCTAATTTAATAAGTTATCAACTTAATGTAATTTAGAAGTACATATTGGCTAATATACTGCTTGCTTGGCTACAATACATAATGTTATTTACTTCCTATTTTTAATACAATCGTTATTTTATTAAGATGTGAACACACATATCCCGGCCCCGCATAATAGCATTACCGGGAGTAAAGTACATCAACATAATTTTACAAATAATTTTTACAAGGATAAATACATTCAATATTGCGATAGTGAGGATATTTATAATATTTACAGAGGTAATTTCTCATGTTGTATCAGGTCATATGAAATAGTTATATTAAGTACATATATAGTAATGACAATGTATTTAGAGCAGTAACAGAGTAATAATATATAGAATAATCATATAATACAGTCGACTCCCCTATAACACGGTTGATAATTCCATTTTATATGAATTCCATGTTGTACGAGTCACTTAGATTTTACAAATACATGAGCCATTCACAGCCCAGCACATGTATTTGTAAAATCTAAGTGACTCGTACAACATGGAATTCATATAAAACGAAATTATCAACAGTGTTATGGGGGTGTCGACTGTAATTATATCATGTTATAGTTTAGTTTCATTCTTCAATCATTTATCTTTGCTTAGAAAAAAGTCAAGAGAGTGCGAGTGTGTAATAATAATCCTATATTAATCTTATTTTTAGTTGCCATCTTTTCTTAATGTTTGTCTTCACTTGTATGTAATTGCTCATTTTGCTATTCTCATTTCACCAAATAGTGGTGAAAATCAAATTTGCTAAGTGAAACTAAATCATTTTTCGCACTTTGCTTTGCTAGTAAGTGTCTATGTGAAACAAACTTTAATTATCTTTATCAAGCTTTAATTACACTATCTAATTAATTCTGAAAAACAAAATCTTGAAAGTGTAAATAATTGTTTTAAAATCTTGTTTAGATTTAAGACCACCATACAAAAATAAGAGCAATATCAATATAAAGTAGTGATGTGCCGGATCATTAAAAATGTATATCCACTGATACGGATACGAATCTCAACTTTCATACTCAGTCAGCGCCAGTGTGTGTGTGACCTTGGACCGATAGTTGATGCTTTGCATTAGTAACGCGACGTGTTTTGACTTGCACTGCACGCGTTTTTGTTTATAGTTTAGCATGACACGGAATAGCGTAGATTACGTTTGTATTTTTGGAGAGTGTTGAGTTAAATTAAAATAAAAACAATGTCAACAGAAAAGTTTAGTAGTGTAATATGGAAATATTTTACGATAGTAAATGAATTTTGCGTGATAAAATTTTTGCAATGTGAATGTGCCAAATATGTGATTTTAAGAAATAAAAAGTGATTTGAATTGAAGTTATTAGTATTTTATTGCTACCTATCTTTAAAATTTCATATAAGTAATGAAATTCATTAAGATAAAAGATCCGTTAAAGATCCGCTAAAAAGTAACGGATACGAATAGGGATCTTTTTTTCCCCTGGATATCCACGGATACGGATATCTGGCACATCACTAATATAAAATATTAGGAAACTGTTATGAAAGTTCCTGGTACATATCCAATTCAGACTGTTAGTGTTATTTTCCATCTTTGCTACCTGGAAGCCATTTTAAGTGTGGATTAGGTCCATTTGTATCTAGCATAATTTTGATTGACTACATTTCCTTTAAATTTATTGTTACGTAAAGTGTGCAAGCATCAAAAGTCAATCAATTATTTTTCTTTCGTACTGTATATATCAGAAGTTGAATGCACCACTTGCATTTCTGAATAAGATTTTTGTTCAAGATGACAATTACAAAGATGATTTGCTTGGAAGCAATAAAAATGTGATAAAATTGTTTTGGTGCCACTAAGTTCTAAATTATTGTTCTATATTACAATAACCACATCTATAATTCATAAACTATTTTAGCTATTTGCTTTTAATAAACAAAACATTTGATAAAATGGCCAGGACTATAGAAAGGGCATTTACAATTATAGTCCTGGCTTTTTTCTCAAATGTTTATTATAATTTATTTGTGCCATCACTAGAAGGAAGTTTTGTAAAGTTTTGAATAGTGAGGCAGATGAGTAGCCTCTAATAAAAGGTTAACTCTGCTGTAAGGCTGTTGTTTACTCAAGGTGTAAGAAAGGAGATCAAAAGATTTGTTTGTATAGTCTTAATTGTGTATTATCTACAGGCTTATGGCTCCAGTTTCAAAGGTTTTTGTCTCTACCCAACTTCACATTGAAAAAGGTGTCACAAATGTGAAGTTGGGTAGAGACAACAACCTTGGACACTGGAACCATGAGCCCGAAGAGGGATTGGATAACACCAATCCAAAATGCATTGTTAAATAGGTGAAATAAAGTGAACTATTTTAATCTCAGTCTCTATTTATTGCAGATAATTAAGAAAGATATGCATGATAAAGATCACTTGTCTCACTATTAGAAGAAGAAACTTTTACACCTGTAATGTTCGATCCTTTTTTCCCCTTGTTGGTTATTACAAATAAATTTTTGATGTTAAGCCTCGTAATATATGACACTAGTAACTTTATGATATTGGAGAGATACTGTTTTATATTTTACATTTACAAAATGCACTGTAGCATTTGCAACAAAATAAAAATTGGTAATGAGTATTGTGACTGAAGGGTCTGCACCTCTTCGATGACCTGTCAAGACTGACACCACCATGTCCCAATTGACATGGAAGCCAAGACAGCAGATTGATTTAGTCATGCAAGTGGCTGTATGTGCAGGCAATCTGATCCAATATCTAAATTTTGGTTGAGAGACAGCATATCAGAAGTAAAATACTCAGATATGAAAGTTAACAACTAAATACCCATTTAATTTCAACGAAGAGGAATACATGATACAATATATTGACTTAACCTATCTAGCTAGCAATTGTGAGAGAGAGTTTACAATTGTTCATGAGTTGGGAAATACCTGTGTTGATGGTGATGATTCTTGATTTGAGATTCTCGAATTGAGGTCAAGATTAGGATCTTGAGGGTGAGGATTTGGATCATTGGACCAGTCTGGATCAAGACGTACAATAAAAGGGTGTAGTACATAAAATAATAAGTAAAAATATATATAACTAAGAACTATATGTAAATATACACAGATGAAGGTTACCGTACATCATTGTATTCACTGTATGCCAGCACCTTATTCTATGCTTGCCTTGCTGGATGTATACTTTTCTCTGTATCTTGTGCATTTTGTTTGTATTTTCGTTTGCATCTCATTGTCATGTCAACTAAATTGTATTATTTATACGACTGCTGTATGTTACTTACATTGTATGTTTATTGTAATGTACTATCTGTAATGTATCTACACCACTCACATGCTTGTATGTATATGTTACCGGCCAAACTAGTTTATCCTACACATGTTAGGATATACTAGTTTAACCTAAGATAATCTAGTTTGGCCTAAATACTTTAGGCTTAACTAGTTTGACCTAGGCCAAACTGATTTATGTACTACAAATAGGTGCCAGTGTAAAAAAATAAATGATTTTGTCTAATTCAAAATGCCACCACAGTACACCTGGTGGTTAAAGTGTACAGTACCTAGGTAACCCCAATGGTGGTGCTTCGGTTAGGTTAACTACATTTTTAGTAGACGTTTCCTTTTTTTCTTTTGTTCAAGAACTACCGTGAATCAATAACTAGTGATGTTAAACAATGGGCAGCTTGCCAGCAGCTCCCCTTTGGGAGGAGTTCACCGGGAGCACAAACAGTCCAAAGTGCCGCCATTGGGGTTACCTAGGTACACTTTAACCCACCCTGTAAAAATAAATAAAAGATTAAATATTTTATATGTTACACTAAGAAGAAACACAAACAAGTTTATTTTTAATTTTAATTTGACTTTAAAAGTTATTTTTATTATTTCATTTGAATTTTTGAAAATATTTTCGAAAGTTAATTACCTTTAAAAGTGCATGGCTTAATAAAAAAATACAAACTGATAAGTACTGATTAGCTTATTTTTATTTTATAGTTTTGTACAAGTGTTGTGTCACTTCTAATCAATACCGTTTTTTATAATTAAGTAGACTATGTTTGAATAAATATTGTTCATCTAATTGATTGCCTTTTAATTTTATTTTAACCATTAATATACTTAAATCAGGCCTGGCCAACC